GGGGAAACCCAAGGAGCTGTTCGACTGAACTAATTTCTCCTTTTTTTTCGGTATTTCACTTTTTACATCATGTCTGGCTGGAAGTGCTATGATAACAGCTATCTTTCCTTTAACATGTGCTGTCTGCACAGTGATGTACGTGGAGCTGAGTCAGTCTGAACATTAACAATACCAATAAATATCTGGCCATGCTCTGAGCATCTGCCCCTTTATCCCTAGAGAAAGGTGTCAGTTGCAGAGGCAGAGTTCATCTTAGCTAAGCACATGATCCCTGTAGTTAACATAAAACTTGCAACTGAAATATGTCCTATAAGAATATATTTACTTACACATATGCCATGGTAGTGCACGAGAATGTGAGAAAATTCTTAGTTTTTTGAAGTTTCCAAAATATCCTCTGCTTATATTTTAGAATTATTGACAGATTTCTTCTTGGATGTAATATCCAAGTGTTTTTAAATCCCTGCAGATTATGCTTTAAAAGCACTCCAAATAAATGTTCTGCCATTTTGGTTTTATTTTCTATATTCAATTGAAATATTAATTAATCACACTTATCTTTCAATGATTTCTAATTTAAACAGTCCTACATTTAATACTGGCTTTCCACAGTTAGAGTCACAGAAATAAGAAGAAAAATGGTGTTACAAAAATATGTTGCACCATTTCATCTTCTAGATGGAATAATGCATAATACATCTGTTAATATAAAGGTGATAGTTCAGCAGCTGTAGAAAAGTAGAGAGCTAAAATAGGCTATCATAGAATCAGATGAATATCATACTGCTTTGATTTGTAATTTTAAAATGCCTTGCTACTCTTTAGCTTTCATACCAAAACATTCAAAATAAGTTATTGATTTTCCAAATGACGAAGCACTACTTCAAGAACTCCAGGCAAGTAAATCAATGACAGACCTGTAAAGCATTGGATGAATGTCAGTATGAAGAAATTATAGCTAGCACATTAATAAAATTTTGCATTATCTTGACAAACAGATGTTACAAAGATTTTATCATGCACTAAACAGTTAACAGAAAAAAGATTCTTCAAGGACTTAACAGTAACTACTACATGAGAAGGTCAATATTAATCTTGAAACTTTATCTGTTTTGTCTGTAGAGAAACCGCAATATCTTTCATCTGAGAGTAACTTGAGATTTTATTGCATGTTTATGTATTTTATCTATCTGTAAGTAGAAGTGACTTTAACCACTTTTCTGACTTTAAAGCATGTATTGAAAAGCCATCCATATCAATGGCACTCATCATGCACTATATTCACTGGACCAAGTAATGCATTTGGAAAAAAATTACCCTTTCTTTAACCAGTTATTCTCCACGTAAAAACCATGACAGAAAAGCAAATCCACTGGCTGTCACAGGGTGATGAGAGGCCCAGAATCACTCAGATAACTTCACTAGGACATTTGCTGAACCCATGGCACTCACTGAGCCTTCTTTCTCTGAGTCCCTCTGCTGACTCTTTCTCTGCCGTGTTACAGAAACACCTCCTTCATTCAATACCCACTAAAATGGGCAACAGGCATGCTTTTAAATGTGCCATGACTTGCCCCTTAGTCAAGATCACACTTAATTGCAACACAGAAGAAAAGAGCACAGACAGGATTCGGCTCATGGCAACTTTGGAGCTAGAATTGTGCAGGACAAATAGTGCCCTGCTTGTGACTCCAAACTACTGTGCCCCGCACCGCCTTCTCATTGTACTTAACAGCTATTAGCAGCCCTTTACTCCAAGTGGTTTCATCAGATTGTTTAACCACTTTTTCTCTCATGTTCATTGGTTTCCACGACTCAACAGTACATTGATAGAAATTTGTGTCCTTGTGTTTTAAAGTATCCCATCTTGCATTTTTCCATCTTTTTTTTTTGACCATTGATTAACTAGAGTTAATTTTCCCTGCAGATAACTTTTCTAAATATTCCATTGCCTTTTTTGCCTTTTTGTTTTACAGAACAAGAGATGAAGTAACCATAGACACTCATGGTACTCGAGGTGTCAAGCTCACAGAAGGGCTCAACCATGTTTTCCAATTTGTTCTTCTTTCCTTTCTTATTCATTCTTAGAATTCAGCTTCCCTTTGATAGTTAATGAATGTCAGTTGCTTTTTAAGGACAATCTACAAAGACCTCTCTTCTGAGTATAAACATTCCACAAGAATTTGTACATCTATTACTAGAGTTGGTTTTCTATGTTTCACTTAGCAGCATGGAAATGAATACTGCATTTTATCAGTAGGTCACTCAGGACCTCCAGGTTACGGAAATATCTCGTTCTCAGTTTTAGTTTCACTGTCAAATACTCCCAATAAGATCAGTAAATAGTACTTTCCCATTATTCATCCTGTTTGCCCAATCACTCAGGAATTTACAGGGAAGAAAGGATTTCTCATCCTCAGAAAACTGAGCTGTTAACCTCCTGTTGCTACGAAAATTCATCACTGCTCCTGGCCTTCTCTTTCTATGTCTTTCTTAGTCATTAATCTCTCTACCCCACAAAAAGTAATTTGTTTTAAGGTTGAGATCGTCGTGGAAAGCTCTCCATGGGTGCCTCACTGGCTGTTGCATGACATTTGGAATTGAACCAGTGGGTTGTATCAGCTATTGCCAAAGAGGCTGAGCTCTCAGAAGGTTTTTGCCAACATTTGCTTTGGCCTGAGATGTCACACCAGGCAAATCCCCTGCAGCCTCTGAACAGGGACTCTTTACCGCCCTTGGTTCCTGGTTAGCTCCTCCAGCTTGCCCTTCAGTATCCTGCCACCTACCTCCTTCACTGACATCAGCAGCCACTGCAAACACAGGGGTCAAGAGGCACCTGCAAGATGCCTGCTGATGAACCACACATCCCTGCAGCACAGCTGTGTTTAGTCAGTTTTCCGTGACAGATAGGAAACATGGGGCATGAGGTTGCTGCTCTCACTTGGTGGGACTGCGCTGCTCACCGTGCTTTGCTGCCAAGGTGGTTTCAGGCAGCACCACATCAGACACCATCAGAAGTCTCAGTCAGAAATAACATCACACACCACTTCCCTTGTACTGTAGTAGGGCCTTGCTGCTAGCCACGTCTGTTGGAGGTGGTAAGCCCAACTGAAGGCAATTTAAAACCACTACAGCAGGACAGCTCAGGGCACAGTTTGCCACCTCCTGGAACTATTGCTAAAAAATATTTGTGATCGCAGTAGCTTGTCCCCTCATCCAAGACAGCTTGGAAAGAGTGAGTATTTCTTCTGGCTCCCCTCTCTAAGTGACCAAAAGGTAGTAAAGGAAAAATAAGGACAGAGGGGACAATAACAAGGAATAACAGCAGAACACAGAGCCAGGATAGGGGCTACTTACATCCACTGTATATGAAGAGATCTTGCTGGTGTGTAGCAAGTGGCTGCCAAGAGGACTACAGAGCTTCCTAGGGTGGTTTTTAGGGAATCTGTAGAACAAGGCTTTGCGGAGCAATGAGAGAGTAGTAATTCACAGGCCTGAGCTCCACTTTGACAAAAAGTGATGTGTACCTTTACGGGACATGGAAAGAGTTTTCCACTCCTGTTCTGCAGAAGAGAGCAGCTTTCACACAGCACATAAAACAGGAGGACAGGAGATAAGGATACGACCACTACAGATTACACTATAGTCCTATCCATAGCTAAGTGGGGCCATATCCATTAGGTCCATCAGCCTGGAAGCAATTTTACCACCATTTTGCTCAGTCTAGTTCTTATTTCCTACCAAAGTCCTAAACCAGAAAAGTTCTATTACTCCTCTTCAGAAGATAAAAGGCAGTCACAGGAGCAACCATTTGCTCTATCAGTTTGAACTTCTGGCTATAAAAAGCTTAGTTCTGCTTTCCTAGAGGAAAAGTCCTCCAGGACTTTTCCTCCCTGCAGTACAGCAGTGCAGGCAACCCAACAGCCGGGCCCATGGCATGACTCCAAGTATGATGATGCTCAGGTCCAGACAGGAGGCTCCCAAGAAAAACACTGACTGCTGTGAGACGATAGGCAGCCCGACACGTCTGCCCCTGCTTAGCAAGGTTGCTGTAGTGCCTCTGTTTGCCAGCTTATCATACACACTTCTGACAGAAAGATTTGCTGTACCCACAAGCATCTTACGAGTACATTTAAATAAGACACTTGTGGGATCCAGGTTCCAACTTCTTTTTCAAAGTGCTGCTCCTGTCACTGGCATAATCCACGTGCCTATCGCTGTCCTTGGGCTGCTATTATTCAGTCAATAACTCTGTCAAGAGGTACCTTTCCAGGAGCATGCTGTAATCGGCAGTTCTGGGTCAAACCCGAAGAAGTACTTTTACCGAGAATTTCTGAATGTTTTACCCTGTGCCTCTCGACTCAAGCTCTCTGAAGGTCGCATTACTGGACACAGCGAAACAGAGAAGAGGTGGAACACGTACAACCTCACTCGAACATTCTAGCCGCCAGACCCGAGTAACCCTCCATCTCGTATTCTTCTGGGCGTTATAAATACTCGGCGGTGGGCTCTGCCTCCCCGCATTTTCCCGCCGGCTGCCCAAAACGCCGTTAAGGCATTAACCGCGCTGGTACCCCCGCGGCCGTGCCCCGCCGGCAGCACCCAGCCCCGGGGCGCTGCTGCCCCGGGCACGGCGAGCGGCCAAGGGGCGGGGTGAGGCGTGGTGGGACGGGACGGGACGGGACGGGACGGGCGGACGGGGGCAGGCAGGGGCCACCGGAGCGGGGAGCGGAGCGTGTCCGGCGGCGCCGGCGGCGCGGGAGCAGCGTGCCAGAGGCAGGGGCCAGGACAGGCGGACGCGGGGACCGGGAAGAGTCCGGACGGGCGGTCGGGAGGTCGGGCGGTCGGGAGGTCGGGGGTGCCCGGGCGAGGCGGCGGCGGGGAGCGCGGAGCCGCGGGGATTGGCGGCGGCGGCGGCGGGGCAGGGCCGGGGCCATCCCAGCCCCGCCCGGCCCGGCCCGGTCCTGCCAGCGCAGCCCCGGGGCCCGAGCGGCGCCGCGCAGGCGGCGAGGTTGGATGCGGCGGCCTTGGAGCGCCGAGGGACGCGGGGAAGCAGCAGGTACCGGAGCTCCGCGCCCTGCCCGCCCCGGCCCCTCTGCCCCGGGCGGGATGCGCCCCCGCCGCCGGCCCGGCCGAGGTGCGGTGCGGCTGTCGGAGCGGGAAGCCGCCGCTCGGGGTGTGCGGCTGGCACGGAGCGGCATCGAGCCGCCTGGGAACGCCGGGTCTAGCGAGCCTCACGCCCCGTGGGTAGAGCGAAGTGAGAGAGCTGTGTGAGACCGTCGCGGGGCGGACACGTCGGGTAACCTAAACAAGACGTTTGTCAGCCCAGAAGGCTCAGGCCGCAGCGCTAATGGAAATTTGAGAACTGTTACTGAAGTTTGGAGTGGGGGAATGGGTCGGGAGCGTTGGGGGACGGAGGAGGAGGTTAAAATGCCTTCCCTTTAAACGACCACGAATTAATCCATCCGGGAGCTCCCCTCTGAGGTGTACATGTGTGCTACTCGGTGTTACAAAATTCAAACTGCTGTCTAAAAGCCAGAACGAAGAAAAGTAACTATTTGTTTTCCTGAGGCTGTAAACTGCCAGCACATTTACTTAAGAAAAAATCTTCTGCAAGTTTGTTTGAGTTCTCTAAGACATTTTTCTGTAGCAGATGTTTATTGTCTAAACTTCATCTGCATCTAGCACGGCTTAATTTCAGTGGAAATGTGTATTGAAATGAACTGCTCTTTCTGTTAATGAGACTACCACGGTAAGGGTGCCTGATAAACTACATGTGTTCACTTTTCATTTGGAAAAGCTTTACAGATACATAAAATATAAAAGGGTTTCACTTCAGATGTGCATTTTTGTATTTCCCTTTGCTGTTTTTAAAATTCTCTCTTTTGGCCAAAATGTGGTGTTGTACATGGAAGCAGAGGGAGAACTGCAGTGCGGGTGGTGGCGGTGGTGGTAAAAGGGCATCAGGTTTCTTTGGTCAAGTCTGTTCGTGGCTGTTTGGAAAACAGGAAAATATGATTCCAAATTACAAGTCTACTGAATGCGTGGTATCATATGTTCTTCTGCAGGCAAAAGTATGTAGCAGAAGGTCAAGTTCTGTGCTCACTTTATTCTCATTTGTTGCTTTGACTTCAGGACAATTGAGAGCAGTTTGGTTCACCTTTTGAATACAGAAATTTCTTATTTCTTCTAGATATAAAGTGCCCAGTGACTTGTGGGAGGGCAAAAGCCCTTAGCTCCCTGTAGGACTCGTGCCCTAAGAGCCCACTGGAAAGGGAGAGTTGAGATGTATGGGAGGGAGCTGGTTGCTGAAGGACTAACACAGGTTCCCTGTTGCCTTCTGGCACTGGGAATTACGTGTTCCCAGAGAAGAGTTGCAGGCCAGGGGAGCCAGTGAGAGCTATGATCCTGCTTTTCTGCATGCACCACTTTGGGGTTCAGTTGGAGAAGATAGAGGAGCCGTGTCTTGCCATAGAGCAAGTCAAGAGGTTGTGGCCTTCCACACAGCATTCTTTCTTTCTTGGGGTGTTGGGCAGAGGGACCCTATCCACCAGTGATGTGATCCATGGTGAAGAGCCCTGCTCTAATTGGAAAGGGTGCTTGATCCTGCCAGGATCCTTGACCTCTGCAGGAGTTCGCACTAACCTCCCTCCAGTGGTTAAACTCCAAAGTGTGCCAGTGGGTGAGGAGATTGCACAGAAGGGGGGATATCTTGGTGCTCACAGCTTGGACCCCAGCTGCTCTCTCCATCCTCAGAGCTGGGACAACAAAGGTCAGCCTGGAGAAGGCAACTGAATTGTCCTGAGCATGACCGTGGTTCTTGACGTTGTACTACTGCCTTACTTCGGTAATTTAGCGATCACTGGTTTAGCCAGCACATCCATGAGGAAGTACAGCCAGATTGCCCCTGCACTGCAAAGAGGTTTAACCTTCTAGTGGTACCTGCTGGTGTAGAAATAGGGGTTCTCTGGTTTGCTTCAGAGGAAATAAAACTCATTTCCAGTGGTTTCAAGAGTCTGGGATGCTGAGGTACCTAACCATGGCAGTGCTGGGCAAGAGACATGCCACAGACAGGTTCTTCAAGTTGTTTTTTAAATATTTTGAGCTGAGGTCCATACTTTGCAGCTAGTATGTGACTGGGGCAAACTTGTTTTGAGGAGTAAATCGTTGAGCTGTCACAAAGCAGTGACACATGTTATCCTGAACCTGCCTTGTAACTTTCTTGTTATTATAATGCATACCCAGCATTAATTTTTCTAATTGTTAAAGAAAGACTGTTCTTTCTGAATTACTGGCTACAACGCAGGAGGTAAACAAAAGAAGATATGGTTGAATGATATTACTTGGAAATAAGTTCTAATTTATTACCTTATTTATATTAATTTTCAAATGTCTTGTGTGTGGTACTCTGTGAGCGTCAGTGAGAGTCCTGGTAAATAATAATGTTACAACTTTCCTCGTCTTCTTACTGGCTTGTCAAAGATTTAATTTTGTGATAGTAAGTTTGCTATAGCAATTTTAAGAGAAGTAATTACTAACAGTGGCCGAGGCTGTACAATTTCTGCTGATTGAGTGCATCATCCTTGCTTTCAGCCAGGGGAACTGGTATAGTGCCATTACCTTTAGTACAGTCATGACACTTTACATCTGCTGAATTGTGGCTGATAAACTCCTATGTCTGGCATATAATTTTCTTCACAGAAAGAAATGTATTTGCACTTTGATAGACGAGTGTGACAAGTCACTTGAAAATGTCTTAAAGAAATATTTATTTTGTTGCATGTGGTGCTCTTAAATGATAGGAATATTATTCTCTCAGGCAGTCATCAGCCAGTCTGGTGAGTATTGCTGGTGGTAGTATTACTAACAAATACTTTTCTAGTCAAATGTAATTGTTTATTTTACAGTGGAAAGCACTTGCAATTCATATGGACACAGTGGGATTTTGTTATAAGCCAATACAATGAAAGACTGTGACAGTTAATATGTTAACAGTGCACAGATTGTAACTGAATTACAATTACACTGAACCTTAGCTGAGGTGAAGTTTTTCTGTTGAGAAAAGCTGTTGAGAATAACTGTTACCATGCTTCAGAAAAGAATTTAACAGCTCAAGGACCCAGTTCAGCTCCTGGGAAAGAAATAAGGTGATTGCTGTCATCTTCAGAGTAAAAAAGGACAAAGACACCAAGCAGCAACTCTGTTTCTTGGATGTCTTTTCCTGTGGGCCTCTTCAACTGTAGTAATTTGGATCTGTGAACTAAAATGGGGAAATAACAGTGGGAAAACACCAAATTATTTTCTCAGAAAGTAATTTTAGAACATCCTGAATACACTAAAGAATTCAAGTCAGTTCACTGTAGGCTTTTATCAGATAACTTTTTTCCTGAAGGAGGGAATCAAGGAAAAGGAAGGGTGGGAAAATAGGGTGTGGGTCACCATTTAAATATCTTTACTTTCATCTGGGATGTGGTTTGCTCCTCCCCTGATCCTCAGAAGGCACTTGAAAATGCATCTCTGACTTCTCAAGTGCCCAGAACAGTGTGTTGGGTCATCAGTGGCTCAAAGTGTTTCTGATCTTAAGAAATCCACATACAGAATCATAAAATATGAGAATGGATTGGGTTGGAAGAGACCTTAAAGACAATATTTTTCCATCCCTCCTTACCTTCATACCTGTCCTTTGAAAGTGTCTTTAATGTGTTTGGAAAATGTTCATGACCCTTGAGTAAATAAATGCTATGGTCAGGAGCTCCAGCTCTTAAAAAGTTCCCTAAATTAAGTTATTTAATTTTGGGCCCATGAGAAGTGTCCTCCCATCCAGTACAATTATTTTCTTACCTTTCCAAAAAAAAAAAAAAGATGCAAATTCGGTTCACATGAAACAAGTTCTGTCCTCACCTCCATACTTGTTTTCTTAGAAAGGTGAAAAATTGGCCATTTGCTCATCCTCAGTGCATATATTTGGGGCATGAGCACTGATTGTGAACCAAGAAAATCAGAATTTCTGGGAAAGTCAAATTTGGTGTAACTATTTTTTACTTTTTAAAAAAAACAAGAATATTAAATATATGTCCTGCATATCTACACAAAGGGAAAAAACCAGTAAAGTTAACTATAAAGAAAAACAACATTTATAAAAATATGACTTGCCATGTTTATTTTTAAAAAGGTAGCACAAATCCAGCTAATTTGAGTGGGAGGTTGGCTTTAGGATGACTGGCTTTCAGTGCATCTTCTCAATTGTATATAGCAGAAATTTATACCATTAACTGGGGGAAGTTATTTTAAGCACTGGCAACATGCACACTGGCATCAAGACTTGACACCACTTTCTCAGTATGTTTCCTACCTTGGGTCTACATGGCAAACAAGGACAAGGTTTAAAAGCATAGAGTTTGCCCTGCTGATGTGAAGGCAGTGATGTTTGGGTTGTCTTTTGGTAGTGCAGTGTACACTTAGGTCTTTTTGAGAGGCAGTGAGCGCTTACTGTCCACACTATGGCTTGCTGGGTCTGTTTGCTCATGGCTCTTCTGTGTGTTTTTCAGCATGGAAATTTAGCATGGGGAAAACACCTTTGAACCGTTATGACGTTGTAGTGGCATTGCCCTTGTATTTCTGCGCCCAGGCTGTGTCTGCGCCTACCTGCAGCTGCTGAGAGAGGCACGCAGCAGTGCTGGATCTTAGTGCCCCGTCAGTCACAGACCCTCACCCCTGGCTCCTGGGTGTATGCTGCAGCTTAAGCACCGGCTGACATGGGAAGGCAGTGATACTTACATTGCATTTGTTGATTTTATTTTCAGAGCCTGGTTTGAGAGCCACTCTCCCGAGTTAATATGCGAGGTGTGCTGGAGGTGAGGATACACAACGCCTGCCCAGAGGAGCACTGGGAGGAACGTGGCTTGATCTCCCTCTTGTGGAAAATTATTGGAACTATATTCTTGTGATACTCAAGAAAAAAAATCCAGCATCCATCAGGAAATAAATTATGGCAGCAGTTACCATGCCACCTGATGCTCTTGTCAGCCCTCAAGGAAATGAAGAGGTGGACTCTCTTATTGTACTGCATTATAATTACACAGGAAAGCTTATTTTAAGGGAAAAGGCAACTGATAAAATAGACCTGCCCACTATTTCATTTCTGATCCTATGTAGTTTCATAGTCCTGGAAAACTTGATGGTTTTGATTGCCATATGGAAAAACAATAAATTTCACAACCGCATGTACTTTTTTATTGGCAATCTAGCTCTCTGTGATCTTTTAGCTGGGATTGTTTACAAAGTAAACATTCTTATGTCTGGGAAGAAAACTCTGAGCTTGTCCTCTACAATCTGGTTCATTAGGGAAGGTAGCATGTTTGTTGCCCTGGGAGCTTCCACTTTCAGCTTGCTAGCGATAGCTATTGAGCGGCACTTGACCATGATTAAAATGAGGCCTTACGATGCAAATAAAAAATACAGGGTGTTCCTTCTCATTGGTACGTGCTGGCTTATTTCAATTTCCTTGGGTGCCCTCCCCATCCTCGGCTGGAACTGTATAAACAATTTACCAGATTGCTCAACAATTTTGCCTCTGTACTCCAAAAATTATGTTGTGTTCTGCATTAGTATCTTCATAGCCATTTTGGTCGCCATTGTCATCCTCTATGCCCGCATCTACATACTGGTAAAGTCCAGCAGTCGTAATGTCACCAACCACAATAACTCGGAGCGGTCCATGGCACTTCTTAGGACTGTTGTGATCGTCGTTAGTGTCTTCATTGCGTGCTGGTCTCCACTGTTCATCCTGTTCCTCATCGATGTGGCCTGCAGAGTCAAGGAGTGCTCCATCTTGTACAAAGCCCACTGGTTTATTGCTCTGGCAGTCATCAATTCTGCAATGAACCCCATCATCTACACCCTGGCCAGTAAGGAGATGCGTCGGGCTTTCTTTCGCCTTGTGTGTGGCTGCCTGGTGAAATCCAAGGTGGCCAGATCTTTGCCTATTCAACCCACTCCAGATCACAGTCGAAGTAAATCCAGCAGCAGCAATACCCAGAAGCCAAAAGAAGATTTCCCACCGATAAATATTCCCTCATGTATTGCTGAGAAAAATGAATCTTCATTTCACAATGGAAACTTCTGTAAGTAAGGGACTACTCAAGACAAGTACTTTTCTGTGTTTTTAGGTTTAAACTACAGGTGTAGTTTAAATATTCATGCACTTCAGTCACAGGGGAAAACACTAACCATTTATTTAACTTTGAGAACTTATTTATCAACAATCATTTGCTTTGGGTGTTCATTCAGTAACACACCTGATTCAGAAAAAGCCTTTCATGCTACCCAGAGGTCAGGACAGAGTCCATGCCCAGCTAAGATCATCAAGTGCCACAATGGCATTGCATGCTTCATTTGGCACCTCGTGGTCTTGCAAGACATCATTAAAACCTGTTAGAAACTTCAGCATTCAACTGAAGACTGCTGACAATTGTAACATGAGCCCAGTTATTGCCAGCTGGGAGAAGAATTCATTGCATAAGTTGGTGATTATAGTTCTCTGTATGTATCTTGCTGTTGTGTTAATGGCCTTATAAGTATGTGGTATAAATAGCTGTATATTTGTACAATTTCTTATTAAAAAGTCATTGATTGGTAAAAGTTTACAACATGCTAAACATTGTATTGCAGTATACAGTGTGACTAATAGTACAAATAGATGCGTTTCAATGGGGATATTTAAAATGAAGTAGTAGCTTTTAACTGTCAGAAACTTTAACAAGTCATATCAATGCAGTATTTTTATTTTTTCCGTTGTTATTCAAACTTTTTGTGTTTAGTGAAGGACAACATGGCAGTTGTCACTGTGGCATTTCACAACATATTTTAAGTAAGCAGTAGTAAACCGTTGAGAGAGGATATATATTTGCTATTTAAAGTAGATAAAATGTGACCCTTCAATACATGTGTAACAAGTGTATGTGCTGTTTCAATGAATATATTTTTGCTTACTATTTTCAATATATTTAAAAATGTATGTCCAACCTATATAAACCTGTGTACATTGTGAATGCACTACCTAAGCTGAGATCCTTCAGTTCTGAAAGAGAGACGTATCATTTCAGAAAGCAGTGAACTACAGTGGGTTCCTGTGGAGTTCCTTCTTTCCTTTCTAGGCCCTACCACAGTGTGGGGTTGTGTTAGAAATTCTCCCTGGGAAGTCCTGCGAGTGGGACAATGTCCCATTTTCTGTCAGTGGGATCCTACGCTTCTACCATTTCTGGACACTTCTGCAGATGCAAGAGGGAAGATGCGGTACAGCAGGGTCATGCTGATGGGCATATCTCCATTTATACCCGACCCTGCCTTGGATCTGGAAAGAAGGCTTTTTAAGTCTGGAAGACCTGGAGCCTCAGCCCCTTTTGAGAGCCCATTTCAGAGAGACCTTACAACAGCTTTATAGATCATCACTGCCTTACCAGCCTGAGGACAGGTTGATGTTGAGTGTCAAAGCAGTTTCCTGAGTCCTGGAGCGGTAAAGACTTCACAGACATCTGGTTTCAGGTCCCCATGGAAGTGGCCTTTGGTACTTCCATCAATTCTACTTTATGGCTGGAGGCTTCAGTGGAGTTTGATGGGAAATTCTGGGACAAGTTCCCATTGTCTCAGTAAGAATGTATACATCTAACTTCATTGGGCTCTTTCAAAGATTTGTGTTTAGTGTCTCAAAATACACTTTGCCTTATGCACAATCAGAAGTAGTTGAGGCTTTTTTAATACACAGCCTGAAAGAGCTCATCCTTAACTTTACTCTGGTCTTAATCATTTAAAGCAGCAGCATTAGACTCTTCTCAAATATGTATTGTGTATAAGTTGTGTATTGTATGTAGCAAAAACCTTTAAAATGTAGAGGTTTGCATTGTGATTATCTTTTACAAATTAATAGTCTGTAAATGTAGAAAAGTGTATAAGAACAAAGAATTGTATTTGAATGAAATAACTGTGAAAGAGAGTAGTAAATATGAAATAATTTCTACCAAAAAATGTTGAGAAGCAGTGCACTTAGAGAAGAAGAAAAAGCTAAACCAAGGTAAGCATGATTGTAGATACAGGCTGCAGGCTCTGTAGCTTTATCAAATAGAGTTGGTGACATTGCATTGCCATGGCTTGATTAGGTTTTTAGATTTTACATTGCTATTGGGCTGTATTGTGGAAGTTCTCCCCTGAAGCTGTGGCTTTTAAAACTGTAAGCTCAAATATTTGTGTACTTGTGTTAGTTGCCAGAGTGGTGGCACATGGCAGCTTCCTTGCTATTGTAGAGCAGATAGGCCTTAGGAGCACACTGCTTTGAGAAAGCATGGTTGCTGAACCCACACCAACCCTCATGTCAAGGATGATACATGATTCTTATTATATAGATGAAAAATAAAAATTTTTGATGGCCTAAGTCCAAGAAGATGTAAATGAAAGTGATATTTAATATCTGCATTCTGGCCTTAGCTATTGTCAGTATTGATGCAAGGTACAAGTAATGCAAAGAACTCTACCATTAAAGGCCATGTGATTGCTTGTTAGTACGAAACCCTTTCATTCTACTTTGATTTCCTTCCCTTATTTTGGAGCTGCGGGGATATTTTGTTAGTTCACTAGCCTGCTGTACTTGAAGCAGGTTTCTAAGATTCTAAGATTTGTGGCTTCATTTGTAACATTGCTAATACCATTTACAAAGTACTTATGATTGGAGAAAAAAGCTATTGTCAATACAATCTTCAGTGAGTCCATCCCATTGGGAAGTACTAGGTAAGGCATAGATTGTGGAAGATTTCAGAGCAGAATTTAAATTAGGACAAGTCAAGAGTTTAACAGCTGTGGACCTTAAACAGCCAGGAAGATCACATACCTTTGAAGCTGAAAAAAGATGGAGAATATCTTCTTTCACCCTAAAATATTAGAAAATTCCTCCAAACACATCCCAGAATCTAACCTTTTATCATCCAAGGCTGATTTGAGCATAGAGAAAACCAGATTTGGTTTTCTTTTCCAATTGGTTTTACATGGAGCAAAGGCTACAAAGCCTTTAATTCATATTATTTAATGAATTGGCATATTTGTTTTGATTATGGATTATTAAATAAATGCAAATCCAGGCACCCATGGAGAAAATAAAGGTTTTTACAATCTGCTTTCCAAGAGTCTTTTATTGCCAACAGTCTTAGAGAATGTTTTCAAATCACTAGGTACCAGAAACATTTCGAAAACTTCTAGGAAAAAAAACCTCGAACCTTTTTAACTAAAGGTGTCAAGTAACAGTAATTTTTCAGAGAATTTTGGAAAGGTTTTGTCCTTCTATGGAAAACATTCATTTCAACTCTAGGTGTTGTGGCTGAAGGCAGTACTCCAGAGGCAGAAGGCTGGTGTGGTTGAACAGAGATCTTCTCTTGGAAATGGGACTAAAATGGAAGGTGTGTGCCCAGTGGAAGCAAGGTCAGGTGACTTGGGAGTAATACTGAGATGCTGTTTGCCAGTGTAGGGAGAAAATTCGTGATGTCAAATCTCAGTTGGAGATGAAGCTGCCGGAAATGTAGGGAACAATAAAAAGAGGTACTTCAATATCAGCGAGAAAAGGCATCTTAGAAATAAAATCAGCCCATTATGGGTGAGGATGGTCATGTCACAAATGGGCATGGACAAGGCAGAGGCATTTAATGCATTCTTTGCTTCTGTCTTCAACACGGATAACAGACCAAGGGAGGCTCTGTGCGCTGAGCTTCCAGGACCATGACTGCAAGAATTATTAACTCCCAGTTTACCCTGAAGTTGTGTGGGACTAGGTGCTCCAGCTGGATCCCTGCAGATCTATGGGACCTGACTGGGATTTATTCAAGAATCCTCAAACATCTATTGTCATTGTAAAATCTCTCTCAATTATATTCTTGGGGTTTTGGGAATCCAGAGAGGTCTCACCTGACTAAAAGGTGGAGAATGTTGTCTCAAGTTTCAAAAGTGGTAGGAAGAAGGACCCTGAAAACTACAGGCCTGTCAGTTTTGTTTCAGTGCTCAGTAAAATCATGGTCAAGATTATTCTGAGAGGTATTGAGAACCTGGAAGACAATGCATTCATCAGTCACAGCCTGCACAGCTTCATGAGAGGGAAGAGTCCTGCTTGTCAAACATGATTTTGTTCTATGACAAGATAGCCCACTTTGTTGATCAAGGGAAGCCAGCTGATGTAATCTTCTGGGGTTACAGCAAAGCTTTTCATAATATCTCTTTCAGAATCCTGGACAAAATGTACACAGCTGGATAAACACATCATGTGGTGGGTGAGCAGCTGGCTCACGGGTCAGGCACAAAGGGCTGCAGTGAATGGGGTGACATCAGACTGGGGACCTGTCACTGGTGGGGTTCCACAGGGTCTCATCTTCAACCCTCTGCTCTTCAACATCTCCAGAAATGACTTAGATTAACTTCTTAATGGAATACTAAGCAAGTTAGCTGATGATACCACACTGGGGGAAGCTGCCATCTCCCTCAAGGGCAGAGAGGCCCTGCAGAGAGACCTCAATAAATTTGAGGGCAATCACCAACTGCAAGAACTTTAATAAGGGCAAGTGTTGGGTTCTGCACCTGTGATGGTTGAGCCCTGATTGTGTGTGTAGAGTGGGGAATGGGAAGCTGGAGAATAAGGCACTGGAGAGCAACAGTGAGGAAACAGACTTGAGGATCCTGCTTGATGGCAAGTTGAACAGCACAGGACAGTGCCCTGTCCTGTGGGGCATCAGGCACAGCATGGCCAGCCGGGCAAGGGAGGGCATTTTCCTGATCTGCTCTGCACTGGGACAGCCTCACTTTATGTGCAGGGGGCTGGATTGGGCACTACAATATAAAAAAGATGCTAAGCTATTGGAGAGTGTCCCCTAGGAGGCCATGTGGATGTGGAGGGGAAGTTGTGTGAGGAGCAGTTGAGTCTTATCTTTTCAGCTTGGAGGAGACTGAGAGTAGACCTCACTGTGATCTACAACATGCTCATGACGGGAGGGGACCTCTTCACTATCATGACCAGTGACAGACCTTGAGGAAGCAGCATGAAGCTGAGTCAGGGGAAGTTTCGGTTTGATATTATGGAAAGGCTTTTCACTCAGAGTGTGGCTGGGCACTGGACCAGGCTCCCCAGGGAAGGGGGCACAGCACCAAGCCTGACTGAGTTGAAGGAATATTTGGACTCTCAGGCACAAGGTGTGATTCCTGGGGTGTATCGTGCAGCACCAGGAGTTGGATGTTATGATCCTGATGGATCCCCTCCAGCTCAGGATATTCCATGATTCTGTGAATGCTATGGAGCTGAGGGTGGCAGGCTCTGCATCTGCCATCCCCAGAGCTGGAGGAAGTCTTTGTCCTTGCTTTCTGGGAGTAGGGTCAGTCCATTGGCCTATCTGCTTGGAGGGCAGTCTGCTCCAGTTATGCCAGGCATGGCTGCTCCCTGGAAAGAGACATTTTGCAAGAAGTGACTGTAGTGAAGCTTTGTTCTGCCTTCAAGGCTTGTTTCCAACTGCTCTAGTAAAGAAATGGAAAACACACCTGTGCATAAAGTGCCAGGCACCAAAAAGCTTGGGTCCTAAAAGTGGGCAGTCAGCTCCATCTGAGCAGAGATGTATTGGTGTTCACCTGCAGGTGCCATTTCACCTGCCAGCACAAGTAAGGACACTTCCAGCTGGAGCTGGGAACCTGGGCCACCCTAGGCCTGGAGAAACTCCCTTCTCGTGGCCAGACTCATGGGGGCCAGGAACAGCAGCAATGATTGGGGGTTTCTACAGTTGTCCTGTGGCCCCCCAGGACCTGAAGAAGGCTGGAGGCACCGTGCAGAGGCATGCAGTGTTTGCAGGTGCCCCTGGTGCATTCAGAGCTGCATTTCTTTTCCCCAAGAGCAGTGTTGTTGCAGTGTGAGCCTATTTCCTGTTTTACTTCCCAGTCCCTTCCCAGGTGTGGCAATACCCCTCTCCCTTCCCCCTTGCCCCCTTGCTGAGTGAGTTCTGTCAATCAGGTTTAGCATTCCAGCAAGGCCATCGTGTGGTTGGTCAAGTTCAAAGGATGCCCTTCAGGCCTGGGGTCATTGGCCTGTCTGGGTGTCATTGTCCCCTGAGACCCTCCTCCTCCCACCTGGTTGGTGTTCACTGTCCCTTCCCCTCCCCCTGTCCCTGGGCTTAAATTCAGCCAGGACCATGTGCTCGGCATTCTGTTGGAGCTGTTACCAAGATTCAGATGTCTGTGACCATGGAATAAACTCTGGATATAAACCCTCCAACAGAATCCGTCTCCTTTTCCTCTTCACCCTCGCCTGAAGCCCTTCCACCCAAGGTAAACTGAGTTTCTACAAGCCTGGGTTTGTTTCAGTGCCCAGCTGCAACATCCAGCCAGCCAAAAGTGTCTCTGAGGTGAAATACCACAGTTGCCGCCTTTGGCCCAGCAGCAAGGGTCAGATGAGCCCAGGCACAATCTACCTGGTAATATTGGGATCTTATTCCAATACAGTGTGACTTTCTAGGGCATGCTTAGGCTCAGCTTTTGTCCAAGTGGTTAAAAGAGAAGGAAGGGCTTTTGCAAGAAGACGTGGTCAGTGGAGGAAGAGGACTGGGGTTAGAGCTCAGCAGAGCTAAGCTTCCTGCTGACATGGAGACAACATTGTCCTCTCCACAGCCCACAAAGGGGCTGCTCTTGTCCTTGCAGCCAGTCTCCGTGGACACATCATGGAGTGGACTATTTTCTATTCTCACCTCTTCAGTGAGCCAAGCAGGAAAGCTACCTTTACAGGACAGGGCAACATCTGGCTCAGAAGGAGGGCCTGTGTACACTTGTGTGTTTTTGCAAAAGTAGTATTTGTTGAAAACAAATGTGTGTTGTCTCTGTCAAAGAACGTGTAGCTCCTGTAGTGGTGTAAGGTCACTGTAGCTGAGGTCCAGGTCCTCATGTGCCATTTGGCCCTCTGAAATTTTTTATCCCTGATTCTACTGGGTTGAGCAATTGATTGACTTGCTAATATTCAGTATCCAGGTGAACCTTTTGAAATGGCACATATTGTGCCCCAAAATGTGCCTCCCTTCAGGCTGGGAGGCACAAGACAAAGATTGGGCTCCCAAGCCCAATCCCAAACCCAGCAAATAAACTTCATTAAGGAACCTGAGCATAAGAGAATAGACTGAAGCCCACTTTACATGCATTTCAAGCTAGTAATAGTGCTCACTGTTTTATTACTTTGGTTAAACATATACAAACTAAATAATCAGGAAACAGTTGCATGACACTTATATTCCAAACTACATTGCTCAAGGACTTCCTCAGAGGCAAAATTTGTCTCTATAGCTAAAATATCACAGTCAGCAGAGAGGCAAAGACTTGAGATTCACAAAAGTGGTTAGGAATATAAATTATCACAATATTTCCACATACATTATTTTTCCTGCAATTTTCAGTTAAAAATGTTTCTAAAAGTAATAAATATTATTAAATAACAATTGTACAATAAAACTTCTTTGTACAGCAAAATAGTCACTTTTTAGTTTTGTTGTTGCTGCCCACACAATGCAAAGAAAAACATTTACCTCAAAAGAAGAAACCTAGCTTCTTTCAAGTTTTAACTCTGCAGGACTTTACTAAGAAGCAGTTATCACAGCAATCCAGACAAAAAGGACACAAATATGTACTAATTATAATCTTCACATTCTTCACTTAATAGAAAATTTCATGTAATTTTGAATTAATGTATGCCTGGGTGTGTTTGATGTCTTGTTCCTCATGGAAGAACCAGGAGGACTGCTGGAAAAAGCTTCCATTTGACCTGGACTTTATTTGATCTTCATGATAGCTACATAAAGTGTAACTCTGCATCTTAATCTCAAATTCTGAGGCTACCTTTGTTTTCTGAGTCATCTGCACTCTCTCTTACACAGTAGGGTAGCAGAATGAGTCACCTAGTTCTAGCTTCTTTCTTCTTTTGGTTTCCATGACCTGTTGTGTTGTCAATCAAGGTTGAAACACTCTCTCTTTGTATGTTGCTTTTGCTAGAAATGTGTAGCTCTGAAATATTATCCCCATTACTGAGACAAAAAAAAAAAAAAAAGCCCTGCATTTTCTCCCTGGAAGCCTTAGGAGATGTTTACTTTGGAGTGTGCAGAGGAACAGATCAGGGCTTGTGAACATAAATGTCTCAATAAGAGATGAGCAGTAGGCTTTGTATCCCCAGAGGTTCTGCTTTAACTCTATCAACCAATTAGCATGCTTATAATTTGGCAACAACTCTCCATTCTCATTAGTGGCGTAAATGCCTACTGGCTCATGTTTCCAGGCTTCACATTTCTTATCCCTGAAGTTTTCTCTCCCAAGACAGCTTTTCATTCTCTATCCAAGCCTCTGCTTAACTGCAGGCAAATTGTATGTCCATGTTATCTTTTCCATGGGCATGCCCTCATTGCAGCTGCATCCAATGCAGATATGACCAAGGTCCACAGACACTGTATGTGAGTGAGTAGGATAAGTCCAGCTGATCACAGAGCACTAACTGGAAATTCACCAACTATTTTGACAGCTTTGAACACACATGAATGTGTGAAGAGTAAAAACCTCAGCTTGAGCAAAAGAGACCATGTAAGTCAAAGTGGTTTTGACAGCACACTAAGGTATGTCTGAATTTAGACTTTATGCAGACATATTTTGAAACTGTAGGCAGATAAAAAGGGAAGTATGTCTCTTACTTCATCTTAGACTTCATTTATGCAAATATGGATTATGGTTTACTTAATATAAATTCTTGGTTCTACTTACTTTGGATAAACTTTGGAAGCCAAGAACGAAGTCTTGAAAGTGGAATTTGTAATCTTTTTTCAGAGTATTCACAAATTCCAAATATCCCTCTGATAACTGCAAATTTTCTAGAAGGTGGAAAACTTTGCTGGTTATCAAATGTCTAAATATGCATCAATTTGGTTATTAATGCATTATATCTGGTATCTGGTATTGATGTGCCAGCAGCAATCACACTACTACAGTATAATTTTTTTTTTTTTTAATTCTCCTCATCTTACTGCATATGATGCCTGGGGACCATGGTGATAAGAAATGTGAGTATATTATTCCACAGTGTGGAAAAAATATGAATATAGGCTATAGAAAACTTAGTTCTGGCAGGTGACATTTACCAGACTCTTAAACATTTTGTTCCATTTGCCCATTTTGCACTGAAGTCTTGGTCCCAGGACTATGTCCTTTGTTCAAGCTTTTATTGAATATCTGGCAGACAGGTTTTGGCAGAACCAGTGTTACCTACCATTGTGAACCCTGTAGGAAATGAAGTGGAGTGAAACAACTGTATAACTGGGCAAAAAGGCAGGCATTAAGCCATGGAAATTGCATCTTCTCATATGGTGACCAGCCAGATATGGTTAGTTTGAACATTCTCTTCTTGCATTAAGGAAAGGGAAGCTGCAATTTTTCACTCTGAGCAAACTCCCATTTGTCAGAAGGTAATGCAGTTTTCAGGCTATATTTTCAGGTTTCAATGCTTCTGAAGCATATGAAATAATGAATAGTTTGGGAACATGAGTGTACCTAGATGTACAGCCTATCACGGCCAGCCAGCAATATTGGATGAATTCTATTAGCTTAATAATTAGTCTAGATCCACAATAAAAAGTAATCAAAATCATCGGGTTAACATATGTGTTCTTTGTTTAGTCATTGTCACTCATTCCTATAGTTGCAACACGACTGAAATCAAAACTGTTAATCAGATAGGACTCAAAACTAATGTAGACAGTCTTGCAGGATATTTAGAGTTCCAGTTCTGACTTCTCACCTATTCACTGGAAAAACATCAAAAGATACTATAATATCACCTAATCTCAGTGATTTCTATTGAGTCTAGAAATGTTTTTCATTCAGTAAAACCCCACTTCTTGAAGTCAAGTACTGAATTACCACAAGCAAATATCTAGTCCTTGAGATTGCATAAAAAATAATAAAAAAGGTGAGGTATTCCAAACCAAAGGTGAACATTTTTATACTGTCAGTTGTCATGTTTTCAGCTAACTTTTCAGCATTTAAATCTATCTTACTACCTTTACTTCTCTTAAATTGGTGGCAGTGTTGGCTCCTCACAGAAGTGAGCCCCGCCACTCTAGCAGGTTCAATTAGTTCTTGGTGAAACCAGTTGGTCTAATGACAACTGGTTTGGAGCTGCTATCCAAACAGCTTTACACTTTATTTGCCCTTTTCATAAAGGGGAAAGCCAAATCTACCAGAGCAACAGAGACAAAAACATGGCTGGATCCACAAACGGATCTCTTTCTCTTCCTTTCTGGACAGTTGTGAGCCTGTGTGGCTCCCAGTGATGTAGGAAAGCCTCTGTGTGCTCCTGTGTGGCCGGGCAGGATGTGCTGAGCCCACCGCGTGGGCAGGCACTGTCGCAGTGCAGCCACAGAGCATCTAGGCACGATGCGCGCACCCTTTGCATCACCAGAGGATGTGCTGAGCTGGGCAAACTGGCTGTGCTGACAGAGCAGCTCAAAATAGCCACATTCCCCTGGAGGCACCGTTTGTGAAATATAGTCTGGGAAATTCAGTATTTCTGTCAAGCAGTTTCATTTTGTGTCTCCTGTGCATCAGCTTTAATTTCTAAAACATGCAGCTAAGTGGCCTCTAAGTTATTAAAGCTACAGTTAGGACAGTAGTAAAAAAAATTAAGATATCTATTTTGGTGTATATTTAGTGCCTTAAATTCATACATCCAAATCTTGTCACATTTTTGCAGGCTATTTAGGAATCCAAAATGGACATAGGAAGCTGGTGGACTTCTTGAAGACACCTAAGAGGGTTATGCAACAGACTTTTACTGAAATGATATGCAATATTCAAAGATAAAAAGACACCTTCTCTTATAGGTAGTGATATCACAGTGAAAACTTTCCAGGTCATGGCTACAGGAAGGTTAGAGCATGGAATAACAAGCATTATATATGAAAAGAAGAAGTGGCAGCTGAGAAAATGTAAACTGGAATATGGTGAGACATGGGTAAGTCATTTTGTGAGACTCTCAAAGTCATTTTGGTGGATACTACTTTGGCATATAAGATGTGTTCCTATTTCCTTGCCACTCCCAGCTAATAAAACAAAATTTTAAGAATTCCACTAAACTCAGTGATATAGCCATAGTGATCTGGGTTGAATTCAGCATTTAATTGCTCTCCTTAGCTCTCAGCTACCATTCAGACCTAGAAATATTAAATAATAACTACCTTTAGTAAAATTAATCACAAGCATTTGGTTCACTAATGTCTTTGTTTGGCTTCTGGATGTCCTAGTTACAGAATCAAGTGTATTTTGACATAAGTGCATGATTATTCTTAGGTGTCTCAATAATTTTCAGTTTTCAGATTACTCAAAATCAAACTTTCAAGTTGCAACTTCACCATATTTAAAAGCAGAAGATACAAGAAAGTTATTTCAGAATTTTAACATGATAGTCCTGCTGAATAGATTCTAAGTTAATTCTTCAGTCAGTTTGATTATGGTGTGACAAATTTTTAAATGCAGCAAATTCTTAGAACCAAATGTAACTTTAAGTATACTGTGGGGTAGGCAGGTACTTAACCTAGACTTACCCTGCTGAGTTTTTATGAATCAAGTCTGAAGATTTGATTTGAGAGACTGGTGCTAGAGAAGACCTTGGATTGCTGAAGGCTAAATCTTGACTCTGGCACAAGCATTGCATTTACAGGAACTGAGTCTATTGAATTTGACTCATAATAAGATTCATAGAATGGGAAAATAACTTTATATAATGTTTAAATGTGAGCAGTACGAACATCCCTTAAAGCATTTCCCAGTACCAAAAGTCAAAGGCATTGCTGCCAGAAATGTGTCTTTATTGTATGTGTATTTTTTAAACTTGATATTTAGAGAAAAACAGTATATTTCCGATGCCTATCACTGGCTGAAGGCCAAAATGAAGTTATGCTTTGGCAAGTAAATGCAAGTGACATCATTTGCAAAACTGATCACTGAGTTCAGATAGTTTTCACTGCTTACAAGAAGAAAAGATTTTTCAGATATGTCTTTGAACAGTCATGTACATCTTATATTAAGCCTATTAAACACAAGTTATTTGAACTTGTCTAATCAGTATGCAACATCTCGTTTGAGACTGTTAATTCAAGGACACCTAGATCTTCACCATAAGCAGAGAACTACTCATAAATAATATTAGCACTGAAATTAAAAAATTGAAGTTACAGTATACTGTTACAATATCATTAGAAAAATCTAAGCACACACCTTGTACACATAGAGATCACACCAAATCGTTGTTAAAGTAAGATACAAATGGTTTGAATAGCATCATATAAGAATTCAAACTTGACGTCAGAAAGATAAAATCCTTTTGATATCAGTGACAGTGAATAATGGTTTTAAAAAACATTTTATGCTAAATTTCTGAGTTGGAATACTAGTTACTGAATTCAGATTCCTTCCATGGTTAACTAGCATAATCCATCTGTAATCCCCATAGTTGTGCTTCTTAGGTAAAATCAGAAATAAGATTTGTAATATTAAATTTCTCAAGAAATTGAGACTGCTGAAATTATTTTTTTATCTGAACAATCACACTTGTTATTTTTCTTTTGGTAAAAACACATGGCACAGAAGATAGTTTTATACTGTCAACAGACTGACTGGAAAAATATAAATATATACTGTATTTTTATATATAATGTGTATATACACTATCAACATTCACATTAGAGAATCTGAACAATTTTGTTGAAATTACTTTTAAGAAAGGCTTCTGATGTGATTTCCTGTTTCATAAAGCATTGAAAATGTTCAAGTGGACCATATGAAATGGGGCCTCTTAAACTTAAATAAAACATACCTGTGAAATGTATGTGAATATGTGGGGGTTTTTTAATGTACATTTTCCTTTCAAATCTGCAATTTCTACCAGTTATAGCTTGCAGGTTGCAATAACTAAAAGAGTTATCTGGAGTCAGTGTTTTCTTTCAGCAGGCTGTTGCAGGCAGAGTTCACTCACTGAAGAAACTATAGGTAAATTATTCTCAAGGTGATAGTTGATGAGATGACTTATGCTGTCAAAGACACGATCTTTTGTACGAACCTTCAAAAAAAGATGCAAGAAGACAGATTAAAGAGTAAGGTACTTTCCCCTTAGCTTAACACTAAAATTATCAAAGAATAAAATGACAAAATCATATTTTAGAAACTGGTCTCTCTTCCATCAGAATTGGTGGAAATTTGGCGCTTATGCAGTGTGGCTTCTGTTTTCTCTCTCACTCCCCCTATTTTCACCAGATAGATATTTTGCATGCAGTTCCATGGACCATCCTACTCTTATCACTCTTTCTAAATAGGACTGCTTGAAAACATCTCTTCATGATTTTGTTTCACTGTAAGTCCAATTTTTCTTCTTTAAAGGACTACCTACTTCTTTGAGATGTTTGTACCTTTTTAATTAGAAAGAACTATCCTGCCAGACATGTCAGAAAACAGCTTCTTCGTACACTTCAGCATTTTTGTGCTTTTCTTCTTCCACTACTCAAAAATTCCCTTCCTAGAAAGTGATCCATCCACCATATGTGCTTAGCTTGGGTTTGTCCTATGCTGCACATACATCCCCATGCCTTCAGAATTGAAACACTTCAGGGCAGGAAAAATCATTTTTCCAACCCACATGCCAGCCCTCTGTAGCAGCATCCTGCTGGTATGCAATATTCCACCCATGACAGGAGGAAACTGATATTGCAGGATAAAACAGTCAAAATTATCTGAACCCAAAACCAAATCTATATTACAAAGCAATCTCTAATCATTTAGTCACATGTCCACAAAACATTTCCTTCCTATTCTGCAAATGAGTTAGGCATACAACTGCTACAGGCAGAGCACAGGTACACCTCAAGCAAGCATGTTGCACTAAAACTTTGCGTAGGACTGGCTCTACACTGCCTCAATCAAACACCTGTGAGCACTGCTCTGACTATGAAATGTTGTCTATTTTCCTTGATCTATTCTCAGGAAGAGAGAAAAACTTATGTTAAAACTTTCAAAAGTCATCTTCTGCTGTGGTGGACACCTCTCCTAAAATAATTCAGTTTCAACATTAAGTTCTGTAAAAATTGCTAGAAGTTTAACACAGTATGTCACAGGATTAAAAAAAAAGAAAAAGAAAACAAATAACTTTGATGGTATATGATGCTTTCTGGTCAGTCTACACATAGTTATATCACTGAAGGAAACCAAAAGGCTCTCCCAATTTCTGAAGCATTCTGCTTTGAAATGTCACTGTCTCTAAAATTAAACTATAATTTTAAAATGAAAAGATATCTTTTAAAAAGCACTAACTTTACTTATCTGTATTCTGAGATGTTCTTACCGTAAGTTAGACACTCTACCATCACCAGAGGTCTAATTATAAATGTAGAAAAATCCTGCAACCCTCCATTTTAAACATCCGTTGTCTGAATGAGGGATCTCTTTTTCCTAGTTTTACTCTTCTGTTAGCTGGATGAGAGCAGAAGCAACTGGACAGTTAACTCTGCTCTGAGAAACACCCTTAAGACCCGTTACGTGTCACTGGGTACTGTGTGTGAAATAATTTTCAGGCAGCCTTTGTGTGAATCAGTCTTCAAGAACAATCCTGCTGAGACCATGCAGATGAAACGCTGTGGCGGCTGGCCGCAGACTGGCATGTTATTGATGATTCTCCACTTTGACAAGTTGCAAATAGGGCTGCTCAGAAGCTGTGTCAAGATCCCGCAAATCGTACAGACAGCACAGCTGTCTGTAAGCAACCACAGTTGCATAAAATCAGTGTTCTGGAACAGTGCCTCCTGAGCCAGGCATCTCAGAGCCATTTGGGCCATGACGATACAAGCAGGCTGTGGGAAGGATAGGTGCAGACAACAAGCAGGTCCCTAACCAAGGAGGTCAGCAAATTAGAGATGCACTAGAGGTAGAGCAGCAAAGATGGGGGAGCCCCTCCAACCTGCACAGGAAAAAAATGCCCTGGAAGCCATCACAGGACCTGAGTATTCCAAGCCAGTCAGCACTGCAGCAGAGCTCCCGGTGGGAGACAGCATTCCTGCACTTGCCAGGTCACACAGCAGTGTTTCCCATGCAGTAGCCTGTAACAGCTCTTTGTGGGTTCATGAGGAAAAGAGAATTAGTCTGCCTTCTTGCACGAGTCACAAAACTGTTGGCAAATTTTAGCAAAGGAGGCTGCTCCTCAAGAGGCATTAAGCCACTCCCCTGGGCTGGTGTACCCATCAAACCCAGGACTAGGCAACTGGCACCTCAAAAGTGCAAAATCATTCTTTGACTGGCCTCATGTGGCAAACGTAACTAATTGCAACAAGTACCATGGACGCTCCTCACCACTGCAGGACTGTGTGATCCTGCCACAGCTTTCTCAGCTCAGATGCCAACAGGCCAACTCCTTTATGGGAGTTTCTCACTCACCTTGGGGCTGGTTACCTAAAGCTGTCCTTTAGGTAACCAGGAAGAGAAGTTGCCTATTTGCAGCTACCAGGAGCCAGGAATAAAGCTCATGACAGTGATTTCAATCTCTCTGAAGAGTTTATGCCTCTGCAGAAGCAGGACAGGCTAGCTACAGAAAACTAGAGCTCCCTTGCCCCCTCCATCCTGCTGTGGGGACGGTCCCTTCACCAGCTGAGGGAGTCTATTTGCAGCAAAGAAATGGAACATGTTTATCCCAATTCTCTCCTGGGCATACATGCAGAGAAACACAGAGGGCCTGGTCCGTATCCCAGGTAACAGAGAAGCCAAGGAGGCTAGCCAAACCTCCTTCCTTTAGCAAGAACACTGAAGAGGCTTAGCTGCACTTTTGACCAAGACCGCAACAGTGGTCAAAGTGTTAACTTGCTTGGGAATCAGGTCCCTAAGGCTCCCTGCAATGTGCAGAAATCATGTGCTAGGTCTTCTGGTAGGCATCAGGGAGAGAATTAGAGATGTGATGGCACATCAGAGATATGAGGTGGTGCTTACGGTAAGGTGTGAATATGCTGTAAAGAAGTTTAAAGGCATTTAGAGAAAATGAGTAGAATCGGAAACCTCATCTGTTAGTGAGAAGTCAGTGCTTACAGTTCCTTCTGGGTCCACCAAAAGAAGATGCTTGGCTTGTCCTTTGTGCATGCCTGTCAGCACATAGGAGCCAGGATTCGTGGTACTCTTCCTCACAAGGAAATCTCCACATTTCTTTAATAGCTGTTCTGCTTCTTTCCTGCTCATCTCTCCTTGATACCATGGCTCTGTACTCAGCTCCTCAGCTTCAGTCCGGACAGCTACTCTGGATAAAGGAGGGCTGGTGCATCCCGTGGAGGTGGATTTCTTCAACATAGCCTCAGATGCTTGATTCTTAAGAGCATCTTCAAATGGTCCTTGTTATGAAAATAGTAACAAGAGCAGGATCATTAAGATGTAAATCACGTAGCAAAATAGTTACTTTCTGGTCATTTTAAACTGGATTTGTTTTGCATTACAACCACTTCTGTTTATGAAAAAAATAAGGGAAGATACACTAATAGACTTACTGATTTATATAATATATTAAGACTGAGGAGTGTAATGTGTTTAAAATATATATTATGCACAGAATGATACTGATAAAAATCAGGCTGAACCTTGGCAGGATTTTTTGAAAGGTACTGGTTTATTTCACTAGTGGCTATTGTCAACAGCTGTATTTATACAATCTGGTAGCAGGCAAATCTTTCCTTCAGTCTTTCTAGGTATTTCAGACAGTTTAATTTCAAATAAATTACATAATAGGGGTACCAAACGTAATTATACTCATATCTGGTCTCTGTTCAAACAAGTCATTCATTTAAAAATTATCCATTACTGAGTCTCCAGCCCAAGGCTATGTCTAGTAGGGAACATTCACCCTCACCACTCAGCCTACTCCTAGCCTCCATTCAGGAAGAGAACTCCACAAAACAGACACAGGTTAACACATTTAACACCATTTGCCTAGTTAAAACCAGCCTTGAGGAAGCATATTTTAAACCTCAGCTAAGTCCTGAACTCAGTGCAACTCTAGAGTTGAGTAGAAAAAGTGTCATTATGGATCCCAACAATCTTACAGAAATAGCAAAGAGGGTGCATAGGGTGCTTTGTTACATGTTGTACTGACCTCTTGGAAGCTATTTGCTATTGCAAGACCTTCATCTGGCCCACCAGTACATATCAAAAAGAAATGTTGTTCTGTGCCCCTAGGCTTACAAAAGGACATCTGGAGAGCAGCACAGTGAAGTGATACACCAGCTCTGAACAGATTGTTCAGATGCAAGGAGTACAAAGCCCTGTTTGCATGGGGCCACAGAGGCTAGTTTAGCTCAAAGAAAAAGGAAAAATATTGTGCTGTCACCGTTTATCGATATCTCAGCCAGCTATTAACAGTAGTTACAAATGTCTGCACTATACCACAGTCTGCACGGAGTCCAACATATGTTTATCTCAACAAACCACCATCTTAGGGCTAATTGGCACATTTTCTAATACTACTTTTCTCTGATATTCCAATGGCTGATAACAGCTAATGTCCCTGATTTCAAACAGCAGATTTTTCTCCTTTCTGATCTATATTCACAGATAGATACTCTCTCCACTTTCTTCCTTCCTCCTTTCTTTCAATTGAATACCTCACTGAGCTGTGGAAATAGAGCCATATCTCAGCAAAAACATGCCAGGAAAATAGTTTTTTCCTACACTAAGATAACAGAAATGTAGATACTTTATTTTACAAATAATTTTTTAGGCACCAACTGCTTTGTCTCACTGCCTTTTAATTATGTGAACTGAACTAAATAAAGCATGGATAAGCAATTTATTTGAAGTAGGAAGAGCAAAAAACCCAAGAAATTTTTCTGTGCATCAAATGCTTTTACAATTTCTTCACCTTATGTATCTTCTCAAGGCTGAAAACAATGTTTATTAGTAGCACCACTACCAAACTATGTCTGACACTTCAGCTGTGCTTTTGCAGCTGTGGTGATGATTCTGATCTAGGAAAAGCTGCCTTCAAAGTTGGAACAGATAGGACAGTAGGCCTATCCAGAGTAAGAGGTAAGTCAGTACTTTAATTTCCATGCTACATTTCTTGTAGCACAAAGCTTTTCCTATATGCATTGACTTCCTCACAACATACTCACAGGACAGGCTGAAGACAATTTTCCACCCATCCATACTTTACTTCACATCACCCTCCTTTACCTTCTCATATGGCAAGCTTCCTGATTAATTTTCTTCTGACATAATTGCCTGTGATGTCGAAGACAACATGGACTGCAACTAACCTTAACTCAGATGTTATACAGACTAGCTCTAAGTCTTCAGCCACTCTTATTTTAGTTCAGTCCAATATGAAACCACAATGGATATTAAAATTCACCATAATTACAACAGGAACAGTAAATTTTGAAAACTTCTTTTTTTTTTTTTTTTTTTTTTTAAATACAGAACTGATGCATAAACATATTTGGTCACTTATTAGAAATGAAGTAAATAGGAAGGGAACTCACTCATGTCAAACAGATCCTTTCCTGGGCTGCTTGCTAGAGCATCCTCTGCTGTTCCACAGAAGGCACTTTCAGCATCTGCCTGAAGTGCCAATAGATCTTCTCTATTTATATTCTGGGTGTTTACATATATTGGCAGCTCTCCAGTTCGTGCTACTTCTGATTTCTCTTCTGACATACTACAAATATCCAGAGATCCTAGAAAAGTCAAGAGACTTTTTTTGTGTAATCGACAGAACAGTGTTGACCAATTATCATCACACCACATCACCACAGGTTTAAAATTTCCTGGATCGGGAGATATAAAGTCAATAATTGCTGGATCTAGTAGAAAAGTGTTAATTAATGGATTCAGAACTGTGTTTCAATGAGGGTATGGTGGGGCTATTTCCCAGGAGGAAAGGAAATCTTTGAAAATAAAGATGGTAAATTTCAAAGATTATATTCTGTTGGAGAGTCATGAGAGAGGGAGAAGGTATAAAATCCTCAAATGTGTACATATTAACAATAGGGAATATATTCTGGCCTTTGAACAAAAGTGTCCCTAGAAACACAATAAAGTTATTAGATAAAGCTGGATGGGGTGAAATCTTTATATGTGTTTTGAAATTACTTGAAATTGAAAGACAACAAAACAAACATTATACACTATTTGCTATTTGTTGAGTAGAGAAAACTGCTTCACATTTTGAACCAAACTTTTCATTTAGGCTTTTCATTTAAAAATTCTACTTTGCATACCCTAGTGGGTCACATTTTCAGAACAGATCAGGCAGGAGACATGGGTTTTAAGATATAGAAAGTTAGAAAGCTGAAAGTGTGGGTAATTCTATTCATTAACTGCTCTACAGAAGAAAATATTTCATGAATATCTGCATTTAATAATTTATCCAGAGGTAATTATCAAATGCTTTTCACTGGTATCAACACTAAAACTCAGACAAAGGGAACATATCAACCAAGTTTTGTTCATTGCCTTAAGGCTTTGAGGCACTAGACTTTCACATGCTTCAAGACCACCTGCAGTATTACAGCTAAAAGTAGCAAAACTCACCTTGTTTAACAGGCCCGTGATGCCATTCTTCACTGAATTTTTCTCCTAGGTGATGGCTCTGATAATAAATTTGCTCTCCTCCCATTCCTGATGCAGACTAGAATGGACACATGTGCAAGGAATTTTTAAATTGCCTTTAAAATGCAATTATTGTAATATAATTGTATTTTAAAATTTAAATTTTAAATAGTAATAATAATAAAAAATAATAATAAAAAAACTGTAATGCACACATTACAAGTGGCTCTGCCAATTTCTTTGGACGTATTTTGTGTACCCTCACTCTTCCTTTCCAATTCATCATAATTTCAGAATATATATATATCCCAAATGCATTTGTTTAAGAGTAAGATATTACCAGTGACCTACAGGTGTTCTTCCCTGGTTTCTGCTTTTAGTGACTCCCTATGATACCAAATGATGCATAATTTCTTTAGTTTGTACTCAGGTAGTGAGTCAACCTGTTACTGGGAGAAGTGTTCCGCACAAACACATGTGGGACCAGAGAGAGCCCCAACACCACAAGCTGAAAGATTCACATTGGTACCAGGGGACGAGGGGACTTGGGGACTGAGGGGAGCATGTTGGCTACAGACAGGACCCCTCTGGATTTAAGCAAAGTTATGCTGGATCTGAAAACACCTCTTAGGGGTCTACATTGATACTGCAGTCAAATTTTCAACAGGAGTGCTGGTAGAAATATTCACGCTGACCTTAGTTCAACATGAGGTGGAAAACCTACCTAGGAACTTGGCTGAATACTGATCACTCCCAAGTCATTAACATAATGAACTGTTAGTAATGGCTGCACTAGATTGTTTAAATGATTCTGCATTAAATCATTCCCACTTAAAGTGCACTATCTGATACTCTCTGAAGCAGATATGGTTTCTGCAAATGTAGTAGCCCCCAGTGGATTTCTGTTCCTTGAACCTAGTTAATCTTTTAATACCATGAGGATTTCACCTCCTTTAATTTGTTCTGAACCTGCCTAATGTGTTGCCCCCCTCAATCTGCAATGGCCATTCAGATGGAAACTGGCCACACAGGAAGGGCTGTGAATTACAGACAATCCCAAGGTATCCACTATAAAACACGTGTCTTTTAAAAATTTTGGATCAATCAGCAGGAGGGTAGAAATGAAATTATACTGACCTGAGCTGCGTCTGTAGCCGTGAGAAGCCTTGTTTTGAGCCTGGCATCAAGGAATCCGCCAGGGGGAGGTATTTTATTTGGGATGTTGTTGTAATACGGATGCTCTGCTGCCTCGTTATCTTCCTCTGTCCATGGGTCCTCAAAACTCTGCATCCTAAAAGAAAGAGAGTGCTTTCTTTTGCCTCTTACTTGTAAAGCACTTACAGCACTTTCAGCGGGTTAAGATTGCCTGTCAGGGGATCACTACTGCATATGGTAGGGACTCTTCAGCTACCACTCTAAGTCAGGAAGCAACGATGGATCATGTGTCAAATCTTCTCTGATTAGACAAACTGACATAAACCTCCTTTGCAACGTACCAAATTCTTTATGCTGAGAAGAGTATGTTTGAACTTGGTTTTAAAGACCATTATAAACTGCATTAACAAACAACTTTATCTAATCTTAAAATAGCACTTGTAATACTATGACTTGATTGACTGACTGGGCTCTAAATCTTTAGTTATGACTGCTCTATTACCAATGTAATTCTGCAAGAACCTCACAAAGTCAAGAGATGTGAATAAAATGCATGCTTCCAGATTAGGATAGTAGCACTGTATATTCCCTATATAACCAGTTTTGCACTGATATAACAGATTACAGAGGACAAAAGTTCACTAGGGTTTCTAGTAATGTTAGTAAGCACATAGCAATCCATGTCTCTAAAGAAAACAAAATGCTATATCCCAGTCTTTTGAACACACACAAGGAGAGTTTGTATCCTCCAGATATCAATGCAGTCAAACCTCCCTGCAATACATCACATTCCTAGAAACATCACCCTAATATGAGAAATACTGGAACATCATTAGTCATTTTGGAATCCCAGCAGTCTGACCTACACAATCTAAACTGACACAGCTGCTGTGACAGTAATGAGGAAATGGCACAAATAACAACCATTCCTGGCCATCCATCTCTGCCTACTAACTACAGCACAAAACACATGATCATTTCAACATCATTGTGAAATCCATATTTAGCCCATCTTAAACTGATTGTACTTCTTCCATGTTCATTAGGTAAACACTGTAACACTGTTTCGCTAATACAGCAGAAATAATTTTTAAATATTCAGGTCCTGTCTGTGCCCAGCAACATTGTCCACATTTTAGCGAATAAATTGAAAGCTAAAGAAGGTCCTTTACCTGTCTTCTGTGATCGCACTCACCTATCAGATAAAGTAGGTGTCTTAGAGGGGCACTGCAAGTACTGCTTAAATCGAAGCTCAAATGCTTGCCCTATGGTGCTGATGACATCCTGGGCCAGGCCATCACAGCATTCCAGTATATGACAAGCTAAATGAAAAAGATTGACACATGCAAATCACTGTTTATGTCATGCTGGGATGCAATGACCTATGACAAAACACCTACACTGTCAAGGTTAGTTGCTCTATTAGTGATGTGCACATTTCAATAAACCCCAATTCTGATACAGTGAATTTCAGGCAATCACAACTTTTTAAAGGTTACATAAAATTGGACTGATGTGTAACTGCAAGAGACAAGGTCCCTAATCTGTTCTGCTATTTTAACAAGCCCACGAAGAGAAAAAAGACTCATAAAATTTCACTTGTTATTACCTGAATGCAATAGATTATGTAAGAATTCTAAGCTTTAAATTGAAATTACACAAATATTAATAGATGGTAATAACAATAAAAGCTTTTTTTTTGTTTTCCTCAGTTTAATTACTTGACTTTTATGTCTAATCACTGTGAGTTCACAAGCTGCTCTCTTTTTCCAAATTACAGTCTGAGGGAGGAGCAGTGTCCGCAGATACTTCCTAGATAATGAGCCCTGATCTTATTCCAGGAATACAGAGGTTAGAGCCTTTTCCTGTTTGTTTGCATGGAGACACTCCCAGCAAACTGCAGGGCTGCTGAGGAGTGCAGAGCCAGCAACCTGATTAGCTCCAGCACTTCCCCATGTGCAACATCTCTGAACCCACTGTGGCAGTAAAGGGGGAGGAGAGCAACACAAACTCTCTTCCTATAAAGACTGAGAAGCCTTTATCAGCTGTCTGAGCAGATATATCTGTCCTGGTTTTAAATCAGAGAATGGCTTGGAGGTCTCATCATATGTGAAAACATAAAGAGGTGAACTTGTGGAGTTCCCACAATTCAACACTGCGAGAACACAGGTGGGTGTTAAGAGGTGGAACCTAAATATCTCAATGAACAACATCTCAGTGATATCCAAAGAAGCCAAGGTGAGTTAATTTTCCATACCCAGAATTGGACAAGCATATTGTCTACTGGCTAGAGCCTGGACTGCATTTCAAACTGGTTCTTTTCCAAGTCCTGCCACAGGAAAGTGCGTTCTTGCTCAAAGATACCAATTTGTTCATCCCTGACTGCTTTAATAACCTGAATATAAGCTCCTCAGCTGAAAAACTGCATTTTAGTACACGCCCAGTGTCCAGCTCACTGGAACCAAGAGCATTGGATGCCACTGTCCTACAAATAAGGGTTGGTCGTGACATTTAGCTGAAATAATACAGGGAGACAAAGTAGGTGTAGATATTAGTTTTTCAGAGGCTGAAATATTGGATAGACTTCTGGAGAGGCCAGAAAAAGGGCCAAGAAACCTGCAGTTGCTAGTATGGAATGTCTGCTGTCTCTTCCTCAGCAGCAGCAACAGCAGCACCACCTCATTCAGCATGAGATGGCACCAGTGACAGTGCCAAGCAGATACAGTGGTGTTCTCTTCTCACCTTAGAGCTTCTGCTGTGCCAGTCATCAAGCTGAAATGCCTCGCCCAGGGAAAATGCCCCTAGCTACATGCTGAAAGTGGATTCAGCAGACAAAAACAGGACCTCCATGTGTCCAAAGACAGAGGCAGACATCCCTGACTAGCACTGAGACATTTGTTTTTTTATGACCTCTGCAACACTGCTATTGGCATCGAACAATCAGCCCCCAGGGAAGGTGCACATTTATCTCTGGAAACGTGGTCCAAAAGTAGTTAGGCCAAACAAAGCTAAAATGCTTTCACTCCATAACTAGAGTGCAAATTTAAGGAGGCGATATTGCTCACTGCTAAACTTTTCTGGAGCTGAAATGAAGCATGAGTCATTAAGTAGTTTCAGTAGGTGACATAATGAGTAACCTGTTTCCTTGGATACGTGAATGGACTTTCAGCAGGTAGGAGATATGCTTCTTGTAAAAGGATGAGAAGGTTTGGCTCATGCAGAGATGATTTCTTGTGAATGTTACAGCAGAAAATAGACAGCCTTGAGCTTGCTAGATCCAGAATGCAAAGCACGAAGATAGCTTTTCCATCCTTATGAAGAAATGAGTCTAATATGCAAGCTATACTACAGCATTGGTGATAGGGTAGTAACATCAGTAACAGCAGCAGTAACATTTTCACCAAATACAGAGGTAAAGACAAATCCCCTTTTAAAGTAATTTGCAGACAACACAAAAAATGACAGAATGGCAAGTGGTGGTAAAAGAGGGCAATTCAGGTCCCTTGGAAAATTAGACCCTTTTAAAGAATGTGTTTTAATACAGGTGACATACAAAGTCACTGATCTGCAAAGCACTGCTGTATACAGACGAGTGGGGAAAAGCACCCATAGGAAAGCCATAATGCTGAAGGCTTAAAGATCACAGCATGAAAGAATTTCACGAGAGATAACAGTGCTTCACTGCAGCAAAAATGGCTTAGAAGGAACCACCTGACGAAGAGGACAAAAGGAAGAAAAAATAGGAAGGTGCATTCTGTGCTATAGTGACAGCCCCTGTTATGCAGATACCATATACCTTTTTAAAAGAGCAGCACGAAAATGAAGGAAGGAGGTACAGAAATTATCTGAAGGATGGAGGATGTGCACTGAGCCTGGAATGCTACACAGTCAATCTTTTTATAAAGAAAACTAAGAAATTACTTGACCTGAATAAACAAAAGGAGGACAACAATATCAGGTGCTCAGATGATGTCTCAGTTTAGGATAGCCTAGCTCAACAAGGAACAGTCACAGGAAGCTAAGGATGTAAGACAGAAGGAACATAGTACAGGAAGAGCATAGTGCAGAAGGAACATGACAGAAGACAGAGCACAGGGCTCCTCCAAACCCTACAGAGAAAATATTTGGTCTACAGTGCTAGTCCCTACACTGACTGAGATCTCTCAGAACAGCTAAATCAGGCTTGGATTTAGAGGAAAGCTACTGCTAAAGCAGGTGGGCTGGAGAGCAGCTCTGCACCATGCATTCCATAGTCTGACACTGGAGCCTCTCCAACAGGATATTGTAATGGAACAAGCATTCCAAAGAACTGGACTACTCCCTACCTCCCATTCCCTGTAAGTTCTCTAGGTATTTCACTTATGTTCAGCATATTCGTATGCTTGGTGCAGGTACTATTTATGAGCCAATACCCTCAAGTCTGGACATCTCTGCACATGGGCACAGCAGATTCTACAGGTATCATTAAAGATGATTCCATATGGGAGCTACTGGGTAGTTGTGCTGATGGTAAGGTGGACAGTTGAGGATTTGCAGGATTAGCATTTTGGAGTTTTGGAGTTAAAGTGTCTGAATTCTCCAGAAAGAAGTACTTCCAATAGGAAGTGCTTAACGTCTTTTCTCTTTTTTTGGAGAGAGTCTGTTCTTCTCTCTCTATGATCTATGAATAGTAAATAGTAAACAGATTCTCAGGTACATTACAAAATGCTTTGTATGTTGCATTAAGACCCAGTGAACACAATCAACAAGCAAGGCCCAGTCCATGACTGATTGCTACTAAAGCAATACAACCTTGAACAAAACTTTACTGAGAAAGAGAATTACAGCAAGCTGGCTGTAAAGCTAGTTATTTGATAAAGAATCTGATTCTGCCAGGAAGACTTAGGCATGTACTGGGAAGACCTAACAGATACAGCTGCCTCATCAGATGACTTAATCAGAAGACTGCCTAGCTCTTGCACAGTGATTGGGTGTAGGTAAGACTTGGCTGTTGCCTAGAAGCTTACACAGCCAAGTAAGGCAAGTGTTTGATTTGGGAGATGAAGAGAGTCAAAGTGTTATTTGGGTATGAACTAGAGGCAAGACCTATTTATTCCAAGCTTGAGAAACAAACTGCTGCTTCTTATTGCTACACAATCTTTCCATGGCTCTGTCAAAGGCCATTCTTTGATTGGGCTACATTCCACATTCATGTTTTTCGGGGTGGAGGGGGGGTTATCTGACTTAAACCATGAATAACTAGTGTTTCTCAAAGGAAATACAGACACCAAATAGATATTTATAACTTACCTCTACGATTAACAGGATCCTTAGCTACATATGCAATATAGTCTGAAGTATCCTGTCAAAAAATTAAGATATCTACAATGAATGAAAAAGCATATTTGCACTGATTACAGCAAAAGATCACAGTCCAGAGTATGTACAGTCCTTTGGGCAGAGCCACAAATGAATATTTTGCTCTACAGATGCATATTACTTAAATCAAATATAAAAGTTTATGGGTTTTGGTACTCATTTCCTTTTACCACTTTCTTTTTTACAGAATGTGATCCAATCCAGCAGAATTTTAAAATCTCTTCTATCAATCAAACAAACTCAGTAGGATTTTACCCAGGCCTCATTTAGGAGGGAATAGAATTACAAATCCTTATCTTCAAACTACCCAGAGATTTTGGGTCATAACATGAATAATCATCTGGTTCTGTGGCAGTAACAGCGCTACTCCTCAGAAATACTGAGCAATGGCATTAATTCGTGTGTGACAAGCAGGTGTTTCCTTTACTGACTACAGTGCCATATGGCACAGAGGCGCTCAGCCACTGCTTGGCTCTGACAGGCAGGATCCCTGCACGCCCTCCCCAGCCCTTGGGCTGCTCCCTGCCACCCCTGTTGCCTGGTGGATTTTCTGGCAAGAGCACACAGACATCTTCTTGTGGGAATTTTTTTCTTCCTCTCCGGCCACTCCTATGCCCTTGTGCACAAATGGTGCAGACTTCTATTCTTATGCAGATTAAACAGAAAGGCCTGGGTTTCCGGGAAACACTTAGGCCTGCTGATATATCTGAAAAATGCCATGTTGCCTTGATGCAATCAGGAAGTCCTGGTTAGATCTGGTATTCCCTGACTATGCCTGGCGAGTCAGGTAGGCTAAACCCAAGGGAAATACAGGATACATTACAGCTGACTGCGTACCCAAAGCCTTTTCAGGTGACTGATCCAAAATCATTGCCAATTATGACAAGATCTAACATCATAACAAATATCAATCTTCAGTTAAAAGATAGACTTCTTCAGCACAGCTTTTTCTAGTGCAAGCACACAACCACCACCAGCCACCCAAAACAAATCACTGTACTGAATGTCTACATAATTTCCTTCCTAAGGAGGGAGCAAGGGAAAGAATGCAGCACAGTCATGGGCTCTGGTGACAGATGTGTGACCATGTCAATTAATGCATTGTTGGAAGACACTCAGACACAGCAGCAGGGAGGCTGGTCTGTTGAAAAAGCACAGCTCTACCATTTTGTCTCGTAATTTCTTACACATCCTGTGGCACAGTGTCTGGGCAGTGACCACAGTGGAAATAAGGATGCATATCAACAAGTAAGGGGAAAACAAAGGTGACTATGTCCATAGTAGCAAATAATACAGAGCCCATGTCTCACTGTACTAGTTTCTCACAGCATGCCCTGAAACTCTCTGAGGGACCAGCACATGCTTGGCATCAATCCCAAGAGACCACTATGAGGGGAGAGAGTGAATGTGTGGGTGCAAATTGCACTGTGTTATTTATTTCAGGGCCAGAAAGACTAGAAAATGAGCCACAGATCAATTCATTTACTACTTCAGGCATAGCTAATGGATACATTTATGCCTGACTAAATCATAGATCTATCTCATAGCTAGCGTGGGTGTGACAGTCTGAAAACACCTACTCCTTATTTCATTTAAAGCTCTGAGATTCAAGCTGACTATGACAAACCATTAAGGACCTAAGGTAGGCACATTTCAGTGTGGCTAAGTTAGAAGACCCTCATCCAAAAAACTATACAGGACTTGGCTGATGCAGGAAAGTGATCCTTGACATTCAAGTACTGAAAACAGGTATGAATGAGCTATAATTTTCAGCCTGAAGACATTACATTGCAGTGTTAAAATTTGGAGGTATTGCTGAAACTGAAAAACTACTGCCTTCAGGGACCTCTGAGAGACCTGCCTTATTAGACTTTATGGCATCCTCCACTCCAAAATTTCAGCAGATATCTCCAAAAAACAGATGTCTTCTCTGGCAGCCTGGAAACAGCCACCTGACTTTACTATGGAGAAAAATTGTTTAGAGTATCATAGGAGGGGCTGAATAGAGCTAAAGTAGATTGAGAGCACAGCCTTGGAAGTGAAATAAAATGGTTCTGAATTGGCACATAAAAGGATTTGGTACAGAGGTTTTTAAGCTCCCATATTCTGACACAGCCAGAAACTGACTCATTGCAAAGGGAAATATTGCAGAAGTATATATTCAAGCCATTCTCCAGGACTGTGGAACACTTCTCCAGGGGTTATATTTTGAATAATATAATTAATGGTAAGGGAGTGGGAGGAAGGTGGTAAAGCTAACTGCTATGACAAATGGGAGGCAGATGTTCAGAGCAGAAACGTTGACAGGGTAGAGAAGCGATAGTCTCACCTCCTAGTAAACCAAACACCAAAATAACTTCAAAATAAGGGAATAACTTCTTGAAGAAACATGGGCACATATCTAGTTTCCTAGGTCACCATGGCCTTTCTCCAACCTGTTTAAAAGCCATATAAGGAGATACATTGATGGTCTGGAGGCCAGCTATGGTTGGGAGATGTAGTTTGGTGGTGGCAGTCCACTACCAAATAGAAATCATTAAGGGCTGATGAAAGTTATGTCTAAATAGCTCTCTGATGAGTAAATAAATCTGAGAGCTAAATCACAGACTTGCATTTTGTCATCTTCGACATGCACCCAGGACAAAGGAACTAGCTGCTTTTTGCACAAACTTTTGAGTTAAAGTTGTTCCTTACTAGACCAGAGATAAGCTTGTAGAAAAACATTAGATACTCATACCTATTTTCTTCATCCCAATACCAGAATGAATTCATGCAGTAGTCTTATTGGGAACACAAATTCATAATTTCACTGTACCTTGTAGGCTCCCTTGCACCATGCAATTTTATTTCTCTGGTAGCTCACTGACTCAGTAGTGAGATTTTTATCTCTTTAAAACATTTGGAAGAGCTTGTTTACTCCAAATCCAGAACTCTACTGCTGTTCCTCTCCTCTTTCCTGTTAAATCATTTCATCAGTGGGCAGTGTGAAATGGTGTTTCCAGGACCTAGCATTTGGGATGGCAGATGGGTAGCAAAGAATCTTCTTATGGAGGCAGGGAACTGTGCTAATCACTCCTCTGCCCACTTCAGGAATTGTTCATTTACAGCATCCATTGCAATCTGTTGTGTTTCCAAGCTGCTGTTGATCCATTTTTTGTTCCCCAAATTATTGTGATATTGTGTCCTTTTCCCTTCTACAATTGTACTGAGCTCAGTGAAGCTACACTAAGACTAGAATTTGTCTTTATGCTTTCTGGCAAAAACACAATGAACAGAGAAAGCACCAAGCATCTTCACCTTAGCAGAGTTAACTGAGAGAATTAACTCACGAAGCAGGCTAGAAATTGCCTTACTTGTAGTACATGACTGATATATGACAGATAATCACATGATGGAGAAAAAGGTACCCATTCAATTAATCTAAGTTTAAAAGCTTTCAAACCTCTTAGGTAAGAGCTCTGTCACTAATTTAGATTTCCCCCATTGCTTCCTGAATGACAAATACTTTTGAAGTCCATTTATTAATATACCTTTGGATGAACGGGTTATAAAAATAAGGAAAAGCACAATAAGCGGGAATCTGCCCTTTGATCTAAATTAATAAAATTTGTAGGTGTATCTAAAAGCTTTGCAAAACAGAAGAGAAAGATCTGTGCTTTTCCTGAAAGTCTGCCTTCAACCTGCATGACTGTAGCAAATATACCTGCAGGCAGAATTTAGCACAGTCTTCTCAATTCACACTTGCATTTGAGAAGAAAAAAAAAAAGGAAGAGAAGCACGCGTTACTACAAATACTATAAATATAGCTGCGACATATTCTACTACTGTAAAAAGTGCAAGATAAATAACAGGATAAAAATCCATACAATGCCCATATAACTATTCTACATTCCTCTGAAAAACAAAGCCCTGCTTATCAGTTACTATATGAATGCTTACAGCCCCTTCATAGTTTTTGTTACAGTCATCTAAACGGGAGGATCCATGAACACTTGTCAGCCATTCCCCTCAAACAGAACTTGATGGCAACAATCAGGAAAAATTTATGAAAGAAGAAACAGGAGCTGAGTTGTGGTTGTATTTTTCTTTTAGTAAGATGTGCTTTAAATTTTATCACACGGCCCTCGTAAAGCAGTTTCTGTGTGGGAGAAGGCTTTACAGAAATGCTTACCGGATCACCTCCAGACGCAAAGGAGATGGATTGCATATGGTGATTTGCTATGATCTGTATGGATCAGAAAGAATAAGTGTGAGTCAGATGGGTTTCTTACAGTTTGCTATTCTGATTTCGGTTTTTTGCTTGTATGCTGGTGAAAATCCAAAATCAAGATCAAAATTACCTACAGGGACTTCAAAGAGCAGCATGATAATATAAACAAACTTAAGGATAAATGTTTCTGTTCCGGTGTTCTTTAAAATGTATCAGGATACTGCAAGATTGCTAAATGTACTCAGAACTCTAGTAAATCATACAGACCTGTCGGAAAGTGTCTTTGGAGAAATTTTAATCTGCTAAAACTCACTTTCTTTATTACAGATAATGATGAATGAAACAAAAGGTCCGATTCATCAAACCATTTTTCTGCTGATGCCACTCTGGTGAAATCAATGAAACCATGCCAACCTCTACACCAGCTAAGATTCCTAACATTGCATCCAATACCTAATCTGTCATTTTATGTTTCAAACATCAACATGTTTACAATATGCAAACAGAATTTTGAATCTAGATGCAGTGTAGTATTGTGGACAAATTCACAGGCACACTCCAGGGCATTTGAAATTCAAATTGCTTATGTACAATTTGAACTAATATGATATTTCTCTGGGAAAAGACAATTTGTCCTGAACCTCTAATAAAAACAGAACATCTCTGCTATTCTGAGAATCAATGTACAAAATCTTTTAATAATGAAATAATGTAACAACCAAGAAAGAAAAGGTCATTTGAAAGAAATTTTCACTTGATATTTGAGTCACAGAAGCCATGCCAAGGGATTCATCTGGGATGGGACAGGCCGCTGTTAAGTGCCTCAGAGCATCTGACAATAAGAATTAAGATCTTGGTTCTTCGCTTTGGCAAGGGAGCCACATACAACAAACCATTCTGGAAAAAATAAAATAGGCTAGAAAACTATTCTCTGTGCTGTTTTCCCTAATCTGCTTCTTAAAGACATGAACTATCAACTTGGAAAGAAAAAAATCTGACAGAACTTTCTCTGAATCATGCTGCTTCACTAAGTCAGAGAGAGGTGACTACTATTTGTAGTGTTTCTTTCATGTAAAGAGCACTTCATTTTCAATAGCCCTGCTTGTCCCACAACATCCTCCAAAGATGTGGTTAGTTTTTAAGAGTACACTTGTAAATTAGTGCTCTGCTACTCAGCAGTGAGGATTTCCTTCTCTTAAAGAAGTAAAAATTGAATATGTAGTACATAGAATACATAGAGAATATAGATTATCCCAACAATAGAACTAAATTAGTGAAGTTCCTTTACACAATTTCATATTATCACTATCTTGATGTGTGCAAATAACCTAATCTTCTATTTTAGCATGTAAAAGAAAAATTATTTCAGACTGTCACTAAACTATTTTTTTCCAAATTTTAAGGAAGCTGAAAAGTGCTCGAAACCATTACTTGAAGTCAGGCGGTTTTTTTTAATTCCACAGCTAATTTAGTTTTAAGTTGGGGTATTCCCCATCTAATCTCTACCAATATGAAAATACTGAAAAGAGATACAGCAAATCATCAACGCCTTGCATTGCTTAAAATAAAGCAATTCACTAATGTTGGCATACAGCTCAGAAACCTTTTAATCTAATCCAACCTTCATTTTAAAGAAATAAGCAAAACAAAATCATGTTCCCCTCATCCCTGCTCAATATGTTCACTTTGTGAACTGTTGTGCAGGGGTACATGCAGTTGCTTTCCTTCTACCACAAGGGCCAACAACCCTGGCTTGTCTTTTCTTTCCTCTCAGATCTGCCGGGAAAAAGACACTATTACAGAAGCTGCAGCCATCCTCCGGTGTGGGGCCTCAAAGGGCAAAGCTGCTGGGCCATGCTTATCTGCAAATCAAATCCTTGGCATAAACAAGAAAAAGAGGAGGCCACAGCCTGACCAGGGATCTCTGAGAAACCAGACATTTCCCAGGCCTGCAGCACCCAGAAGAGTCTACTATTCCTCAAAAAGAATGATATAACAGGAAGATGAACAGTTTTGTCAATTCAGAGAAAAGGCAAAACATGCAGGGGATGACTCTTTGAAATAAATGAGTTTAACTACATTTCTGCCCTAGCATTGGCTGATGACAAGCTGACTTTCAGGGTTTGGCACTTCCTTGGTAGAGCTAATTAACATCACGTTCTTATGCTTCTGATGGGGAGTAATTGTCCTTAGGAAAAGCACTGCTGTTCATATTCCATAGTAAGGCTACAGACTACTGCAGCCAGTCACGGCCCTGCTCCCCCAGTCTCAGTGCTCACTGCAGAGGATTGTGATGCTTTCTAAATAAGGATAAGAATGAAGGTATACGAATGAAAACATAGTAACGAACAGCAAGCTTTTTAATAAATGGCATATATATTCTTTCTTACTTTCTAACCCTGAGGCCCCGAAGGCATCAGTAGGAATTTTACTTCTTTACTCTCTGTATCTGGGCAGAAAGTTGCATGCCCTAATGCAATATGTGGCTCACAGCAAATCGCACAGAAGTGGCTACGCATGTCTGTCTGCTTCCTTTTTATATATACCCTGAGCAAGGATTTTTCTCATCTCATACATCATTCACAAACCACTGCAGTGATTCCCCAAAGTCTGTCTGTACCTTCAGCACAGTGAAGAAGAAGAAATGAGCTACTTTTAAAAGGCTGCTTTGTCTCTCTAAAAGACTGGCCTTTCACTGCACTGCAAAATCCCTGAGGCTGTATTTTTGGCAGCACCTCAGGAACAGTTTGCCCTTTAAGACTCTAAATGGGAAGAAAACAACAAACTTGGGGACACACATTCAGTATTTTAGTTATTGCTCCAAGCACACCCTTTTTATGACTCTGAAAGTTTGTAATTTTATTCAATAAGAACTCCCACAACCATATAATGGTATTTCACATCACAGGTCTTTTAAGAGCAAAACCAATCTGCCTGAAACATGGCAAGAAGAAAATAATTTATCAAAGCTGTGTTGAATAGTGAAATAAACTGACTTCCACTATGATTATATTTTGAGTTCATTCATTTTATGACATTATTGAGGAATAATTTTGAGCAACATAGTACTTGGTAGACAGCAAATAATTGTGCAGCAGGCTGTTCATCAAAAGCCTCACAAGTTAATACAGAAGTTACACTCACCTGTTTTGTATCTGGATTCATTAGATTTAAGCTGCTGGTGGAGATATTCAACATTATGCTCATTCCTGCAAACTGAAGATTGCTCTTTCCCAAGATGCTAGAAAGGACTTTGCTTGGTGGCTGTGAGGAGGGGGGGAAAAAGCAGATTTTTGTTCTCTGATTTTTTTTTTTTTTGAATGACCTTCATTGTATGCAGGGTTAGTGGTGATCTTAAAAGCTTCTAAAAAGTTTATGACTTTTCAAAGATCATTAATTTGCAACAGCTGTTTTCCTCTGGAAATTATTTCTCATTTATACTACTACTACTTCTACTACAACTACTACTACTACTACTAATAATAATAATAATAAGTAATAATAATAATGATAGTAGCCAAACAGTTCTTCATATACTCTTCACCAAAAAGAAAAAAATAGGGGTTTTGTGAGACAGCACCAGTGTCATCATCACCAAGGGATCAAGTAAGCAGATTAAGAAGAATGCCTTCAGTCAGTCTCTTAAAACAAAAATGTGCTTGTTCTATAAAAATAGCTTCAACTCTTGAAATTTACTGTTTGCTCTACATCTACTGACTGTTCTACCCCCTTGCCACATGGAAAGTGGGACTCCAGTGATATCGATGGAAGGCTCACAAAATGGGATACAGAGAATTATGGACTGGATTACCTCTAAAGGTCCCTTCTAACCCCTAACCATGCTATGACTTTGCTTGTAGACTTAAAAGTAGGTTAAAGCCAGATATAGACAAATAAAACCTCTTTATGCTGGGGTAAAATATGCATCTAAACATTATCAGAGAATAAGTATATGAATGTAATACAGGGGATGTAATAGTATTGATAACTTTTATAGGCATTTCACCAGCTCTTAGGAGGTTTTGCAGCAATAGAAATTATGCTGTCAAAGCAAAATTCATAAACTTCTCACCTTTGAGAGCTATGGGGAACCACATAGCTGCGTGAGAGCAGCCACATTCAAGTAACCACAGCCTGTAAAAAACAAGGCTGCCCAGCAGTCACAGACCAAGCCCTTTAACTTGCTCTACTTGCATTGGTGAATATTTCTGCTGGTCATTAGTATAAAAACACAAAATGACTGGAGACAGTGCTCTTCTGCCACTATTTTTGCACTTGTCCTAAGCTGCCTGCAAGCTTAGATGGTTTTGTTCCTAGCAGTCTGGACACATTTGAGCTTCTGCAATCCTGAGAGTTTACATATATTTAATTTAATCTTCTTTCCCTTCTGTTTAACTGATTTAAAAATACACTACGTACATACTGCTCCTATGTAACGTGCTGCACTATTTCAACCCTGTCATGTTACAGAGCTAGAACTTAATTAAATTCTCTTTTGAACAAACTCTTTTGAGTATCTCTGTATCTCCTCTTTCCTTAATCCTTCATGATTCCTGAGTCATGCCTAAGGATTACCAACCCTGAGTTGGTGCAGGTAAAGTGTGAAAATTTGGCTTCAGGAAGTACATGTCACCTTAACCAAATTGAAATGCCACTAGTGGGAGAAACATGATGAATGTGCAGACGCACAAAAGACACATGTCTTTGATATTTATCTGAAATTCTGTTGCTCTTTTCAACAACTTATAAGCAACATTACTTTTACATCTATAATACAGCAAGGTGTCTCACTAGTTGCTTGGAACTCTGTTTAACTTATTTTTTCAACTGCATTTTGTGTCGTTATGCTTTCCAAGAAGAAAGATACTTTTGTCTGTACTTTCAAATTTAAAATGAAACACCAGAGAACCATGAAATGCCAATGAGATAAATTTGGTGGAGGTGAAACTATAGCCTAATTTCTGACACAATTTCCAATCACACTGTGAGACATGTCACATATGACTGATTTTACCAGGGTATGATTATCTATTGCAAACAAGTGGCATTTCATGGTATTCCTTTCTGCTGAGATTCTGCCTAGGTGGTGGAGCAGCTGGGGAAGCAGGCAGACCTTTTCCTTCACCTGCACATTCTCCTCCCCTGCCCAAGAACACCTACAAGGGCTATAATTAACTAATTTCTATGCTTCTTCCCTTGGAGATAGCACCACATCCCAGCTTTGCTCGCAGGTCTCCGGAAGAGACTGTTGAGAGCCATCAGTGCAGGAGCTGAGCCAAGGCTTCCTTCTCTCCCTGTATGAAGACTCTAACTCCCAGCACACAAATAAAAATAGAAGCAAGGTAGTAATGATGTCAGGTACACGCTGGACTCACCATCAGCACGGGACACTGAGCATCAGCCACAGGTGTTTACGGAAAAAGCAGAGGGAACAAAGGATCACCTCATATGCTCTTTCCATTTCCAGAAATCAGTGATAACCAAACTCTAAATGTCATCAGTATATCTATCTTTCAAGAACAAATCTAGTCACTTTCAAAACTATGTATCTTTTGGGCTTCTCCTGTATCTTCCAGCACCTATTTCCATAATTTACTCATGCATTTTATGGAAAGGCATCCCATTTGTTGGTTTTAACTCTTCCACCTGCAATCTACAAAAGAAAGAAAGTAAAAGGAGGAGGTTTCTATGGAAGGAACATAAAGGCACAATCTTCATCCTAAATGTACTTATATTTCCAGATGCGTACAAAAGCAGATCCTGACCAAAAGGGCAAGTGACAACATACAGTGAGTAAAAACAGCCAATACTCTAAATGATTAATCAACTGCAATTCTCAAAGCTGCCTTAAAGTCACCTGCCTGCTGTGCCTGGTCTCCACTGTGCTGTACAGAGAAAATACAGTCAACTGCACTACAAGAGAAAAAAATACCTTTCGTTTCTTGAAGGCTCTTTTGGCACCAGGCATGGCTTCACAAACACGACTGATTGCTTCCCTGAAGAGACAGAAAAAAGCTTTATGGCAAAAGAATGTGTGGGTTTCTTCATTACGCTTGAAATGCACTGGAGAGAACAGTTTCAACTGTATTTCTGTGCACAAGTGAAGATAGTTAGCAGGTCAGTTAGCTTTCCTTTAAAAAAGAGAATGTTTCCTCACACTACTAAAAAGACCTTTTCTCACTGTAAATTAGAATATTGCTCATAATACCATCCTTCCAGTCTCACTTTTGTACATTTGTTAACACCTTCTTTAAAAAAAATGTTTCTTTTAGTGTGAGAGTTAGAAAGCATAATTTTTCTTACTACTATATTATGCACTTTTCCAGTCAGAGCAAAACCACCAGGATTTAGACAGTACCAGAACCCTTGGTAATATGGACATTCTATACAGTACATGGGATGTACATTTTAATTTATACTATTTCAGTACAGTCTGAGTAGTTTATTAGTGGCCTTACATTTATATTACAGGGAATATCATTGCCTGAAACAATATTTTATTTCAGTTTTTTAACATTGCTTCATTCTTCCCATCACACTCATGTTGACTGAAAGAAATGTAGGTCCAACATGGATTTGAATCTTTACCCTTTCATAGAAGAGTAACTCTACATCACAAAAGCTCTTGAAATCATACTGCTCCAAACAAATCTTACAGTTCCTTCCAGTATTTAGCAATTTATAATCTGAATGGTTCATCTGGTCAGTGTTTTGAATTTGCTCCTGTACACACACAGGCCTTCCCTCTGACCACTAGGTACAAGACTTTAATAGGCTCATCCCACTGCAAGACAGAATCGTTTCACAGAAGCGAGCAAAGGTGATTGCCAACCTTGTTTAACTATTTCTTATATGTATTGAGACTAACAGCAGATTATATTTAGAGCCAAAACCATGCAAATAACAAATATTTTAAGCAAAACCCCCCAAAACTCAAAAGCAAACCAACCAACCAACCAAACCAGAAAACAAAAGAATGGGAAACAATGAACTACAAGATAAAGAACAGCCAAAATAACCAAAACCTTGAAACATCATCTAGATAAAGGCATAATTGATATTGACTTTATGCCATGTGCTGTCTATACCAACTCTGCACAGGATCAACAAGTGAGTCAGGAGAACAATGCCATACACATATATCAGCGTTCAACTTGTAATGGCTTAGCAAACGTGACAGATTATATCAGGTGGCAATCAGTAACTGATCTATAGTGATGCTTTGTGCGCTTTTAGCTGGACCCAGTTCAAAGTTGGAATCATCTGGAAGAATCACATTTTATTGGTTTGGGGAGATGGGTGGTTGGGGGAATGGAACACACCTTAAAGCAGGTTTACAGTCCTGCCATTCTGAAGAAGTGTGAGATTTATAGTGAGAGATGGTTAAAAAATCTTTCAAGCACACTATCTTTTCTTTAGGTCTAGAGGAGAGGTGGTTTATTCAGTAACTTGTTCTATGCCTTTTTTTCCTCCACCTACATCTGTTTATCTAATAAAATTGCCTCTCACTACAAACCTTGCCTTGCATATGTACTCAGACCATTATAGCTACAATACACCATTTCATGGTTCAGCACCTGTATTTAGCTCCCACCTTCATTACATTTTTTACTCCAAACAAGTGTTTTAGTTAAAGTAATTACTAGATTTTCTTACAGGGCAAGTAAAAAGCAGTTGGTTTAAAAGAACATGTCTGATGCATCTTGGAAACAAAGCACAGCAAGCATCAGACAGTGATCACCATAATACTGAGACAAGGATAACTCCTGAAAATGTAACCAGGGAAAAGTAAATATACACCTCTCAAAAGAAAAATTCACTAAAAATGCTTTTCTTTTGCTCATGAAAAACAAGCAGACATCATCTTTTGCAGAGTCAGCCTCACTGGCTACTGAGCTAAAACTTGTGGTTTCCCACCTCTCTCTTTTGCTGAAGCAAATCCTTTGGAGATAATAGAATGGGAAGTTCAGGCCAGTGGCAGTCTCCAGCCCACTTCAGCCTTTCAGACCTGTGCCTCTTGCTTCACCAGGTGTGTCTTAGTTTCCCAGGCATTTTGACTGCAAGCTGCTCTCACAGAGACATCACCAACACTTGTCACCTCTTTGTCTATTCCAGTGGTTCAGCTGGTACATTGAGATACCTTGTAGGTTTTGCCTCTCACAGAAAGGACTTGGATTTCTGAGATATGTGCTTGAGGGATTAGTTATTAAATTAGTCTATCATTTCCTTTCTCTTCCTATTTGTCCACATCATCTTCTCTTTGTAGTGGCAGCAGAGAACTTAAGAGAAAGACAAGGGGATTTTTCAGGCCACTGCACCCAACAAAAAAATGTGTGCAATCTTGTTTTTCTTCTAGGACAGGGTTGGGTATTGTAGCAGTACTTCTGCCAGCTCCTGGTAACCAGACATTAATTGTGTTACTCAATAGATTCATCTGATTCAAGGACCTTGTTCATCAAGACTGCCACTTGAGATAGGAATGGAAATAACTAGGTGAAAAAGCTGAAACCCAGGGCAAGGCTTCACAAGGCAGCCTTGACTACTCCTTGCATGCCCTATCTTGGCAGAGCAGAGAAGACTTTAAAAAAACCCCTAATAAACAAAGAAAACCAACCAACCAACCAACCAAAAAAAAACCCCAACCCAATGAAAAACCCCCCCATAAACAAAAAAAACCCAACCGGGCTACACATCCTCTCACTCCATAAAAAAAGCACAATTCAGTTTCCTGCTATCTGCCTTCCTTTTGGTAAAATATCTTGGTTTTATAGAACTCAGTGTTCCCAAAGGCTATGGGAAGACTGGGAGCCTTTGGGTTTTGAACCTCTGTGAATACTAAATCTATTCAAGCAACTGCAGGGTTCAAGTTAACAACACTTTTAGTGAAAATGCTGGGAACTTCAGAAAACATATTCATAGAGCAATTCTGTGTAATCAAGGTCAGAGTGTCCTGGCAGCAACTCTTTGCATGCCTGCAACAGAAGGCACAGTACTTTTCCTGTGTGGGAGTAAAGGAGTCTAAAAGCAGTATTTGAAGAAAATAGGAAGAATAAGGACGACTAAACATCTGTCACTGCACTAAATATGCATTTTATCCAAGGGTCACCAATACACTTAGAGGAATGCAGCACCTTTTCTATGATAAGAGGCTGAGAGAATTGGGATTCCTCAGCCTTGAGAAGTGAAGGCTTTAGGGTGAACTAACAGCTGTCTTCCAGCAGCTGAAGGGAGCCTACAAGCAAGGTGAAAAGAGACTTTCTACAAGAGCATTTAGTGACAAGACGATGGGAATGGCTTCAAACTGAAAAGGTAGGTTGAGACAAGATATTAGGAGGAAATTCTCCACTGTGAAGGATGGGATGCACTGGAACAGGTTTTCCAGAGAAACTGTGGGTGCTCCAGCCCTGGAAGTGTTTAGGACCAGGTTGCATGGGGCTGCGAGCAACCTGGTCCAGTGACAGGTATCCCTGCCTATGCCAGGGGATTGGAACTGAATGGTCTTTACAGTCCCCTCCAACCCAAACCATTCTATGATTCTGTGAGAGTTCCCCAACCAGGTAGCCAGACTGCCTAGTGGTGTTGGAAGGATGGCCTGAAGACTTCTTTTCAGCTTGTACTGCTAGGAAGGACGGGGTAGATGTAACCACATTTTTTAAGCAAATCAAATTTGGAAATGCCTCGGCAGCACAAACACCTGATATACAAATCAAGCCCAGGAACAGGTATTGCCACCAGGCTGAGCATGCCATCACCTGACTTGTGCATGGAAACCCTTGCCTAAGGAAGGCAAAACCAAAAGTTCTGTATAAATCTGCATATATATCTGGCTAGATATTGCACAATTTGGGAAAGCTGGATGTGATTACATTTGTTTCCTTTCTAATAGGAAAATTATTTGACATAAACAGATATCACACCTTTCTAAGCCACATCCTGCTTCATTAGCTAGGCTCAGATAAAAATCAGTGTAGAGTAATGCTGATCTCTTGTAAATTAGTTATTGTGCTGTCTGCAGTAAGGACCACATGCTGAGTTCCAAATCTGCCCAAGAGTATTTTCTGCTTTGCAGATGGTCATACTGTGGAGTCATTTTCTTGGCACAAAACATGTTGTGTATTTTGAATATAATTTCAGCATTCAAGTGCATTCAGTAAAAAATCACCGATATTCATTTTCTGAGATTGACCTATACTGCTTTAAAGTGGCTTGACATCTGAAAAAGAGGACATTTTACATTGCCATTTAGTTCCATTAATAAGGCTAATGCCCTGGTATCGTTCATAGCTTTAGTGATATTTTATTCTGTTATACAAAGTAGTCCACTCAGGAAGTTCAAATGTGTTCCTCTATGAAACATCATCACATGAAAATACTCTCCATTTTTTGTTTGTGCTGTTCCTGTTCTTAATTAATGTTATTTAATTGATTAAACCCCAGAATTCTGGAACTCAAATTTCGAGGAAATTACATACACATAGAAAAAACACAGATTTTCTCAGCGTATTTGAAAAAGGTAAAACCATCTCAAATAACGAGATGAGAAAATGTGACTACATTTTAGTATGAGATGTTTTGTTTCAAAATATTTAAAACCTACTAATACTCTATTTTAAAGATATTCTAGTGCCCTGTAATTCCCAAGTTTACTTCTCCCCACCTCAAAAGTTTAGGACTTCATAGGTTGAAAAACAGACAGCAAAAGACTGACTTTTTAAATGGAAGAACTATTCAGAAGGTTCACAGTTATTTCTTAACAGTACTAAGTTCCTGTCAATTTTAATCATTACCAAATACTGTACCAGTATTTGCTGAGGACAAAGTCTGTAGTAAATTTTAACTTGCTTCTGAAAAATAATAATAATAAAAAAAGAAACAGAGACCAAAAATACATTTTTAGAAGTCTGTTTAATAATTGAAATACTTTTTGTTCATTTGCAAAACAGGCAAAATGAGCATGCGCTGTCTGAAGTAGCACAGGGGACATTGACAACCTCCA